AGGCAAAGGCAATTACAAAAAAAAAAAAAGATTTTTCTCAAGTAGATTAGATAGAGGGATTCGATAGTAGGAACTGTGCATGATGCCCCCTCAGACAGCTGCAGTCCAATACCCTGTCCTCATCCTAGTGTCCACATCCTCCACCCGAGTGTGTCGCCGGAGGATCAGGTGCCCTCCAGGAGAAAGTGGATGAGCAGGTGCCCTCCAGGAGTAGGCGGATGATGGCCTGGTCTGGCAACCCTACGAACAGGTGGCAACCCTAGGATACGGTCACACTAAACGGGGGGCCTAAAAGTATGCAATAGTAAAAATCGCGGGACGGTGGCGCTTCCTAGTGGGCGAAAGTGGCACTACTGCAAGCCGAAGGTGGCGCCACCTAGTGTCCGGAAGTGGTACTAAAATGCCCGACAGTGGCGCCACCTAGTGTCCGGAAGTGGTACTAAAATGCCCGACAGTGGCGCCACCTAGTGGCCAAAAGTGGTACTAAAATGCCCGACAGTGGCGCCACCTAGTGGCCAAAAGTGGTACTAAAATGCCCGACAGTGGCGCCACCTAGTGGCCAAAAGTGGTACTAAAATGCCCGACAGTGGCGCCACCTAGTGGCCAAAAGTGGTACTAAAATGCCCGACAGTGGCGCCACCTAGTGGCCAAAAGTGGTACTAAAATGCCCGACAGTGGCGCCACCTAGTGGCCAAAAGTGGTACTAAAATGCCCGACAGTGGCGCCACCTAGTGGCCAAAAGTGGTACTAAAATGCCCGACAGTGGCGCCACCTAGTGGCCAAAAGTGGTACTAAAATGCCCGACAGTGGCGCCACCTAGTGTCCGTAAGTGGTACTAAAACGCCCGACAGTGGCGCTCTCTAGTGTGTCAAATTGGTACTACCGCGCGCGACGGTGGCGCTTTCTAGTGTGTCAAATTGGCACTCACCGCGCGCCCAACACGTATGCTACACTTTTTGCCACATCCGCCGATGCGCTCCTGCCGGCAACTATCAAAATTACTTTATACTGCGCCTTATTGCAGTGCCTGTCGGGGGCGGTCGATGGCCTAGCAGCTTAAGCGCAAGACCACGAACCGAAAAGACCTGGGCTCGAGTCCAGGCAAAGGCAATTACAAAAAAAAAAAAAGATTTTTCTCAAGTAGATTAGATAGAGGGATTCGATAGTAGGAACTGTGCATGATGCCCCCTCAGACAGCTGCAGTCCAATACCCTGTCCTCATCCTAGTGTCCACATCCTCCACCCGAGTGTGTCGCCGGAGGATCAGGTGCCCTCCAGGAGAAAGTGGATGAGCAGGTGCCCTCCAGGAGTAGGCGGATGATGGCCTGGTCTGGCAACCCTACGAACAGGTGGCAACCCTAGGATACGGTCACACTAAACGGGGGGCCTAAAAGTATGCAATAGTAAAAATCGCGGGACGGTGGCGCTTCCTAGTGGGCGAAAGTGGCACTACTGCAAGCCGAAGGTGGCGCCACCTAGTGTCCGGAAGTGGTACTAAAATGCCCGACAGTGGCGCCACCTAGTGGCCAAAAGTGGTACTAAAATGCCCGACAGTGGCGCCACCTAGTGGCCAAAAGTGGTACTAAAATGCCCGACAGTGGCGCCACCTAGTGGCCAAAAGTGGTACTAAAATGCCCGACAGTGGCGCCACCTAGTGGCCAAAAGTGGTACTAAAATGCCCGACAGTGGCGCCACCTAGTGGCCAAAAGTGGTACTAAAATGCCCGACAGTGGCGCCACCTAGTGGCCAAAAGTGGTACTAAAATGCCCGACAGTGGCGCCACCTAGTGGCCAAAAGTGGTACTAAAATGCCCGACAGTGGCGCCACCTAGTGTCCGTAAGTGGTACTAAAACGCCCGACAGTGGCGCTCTCTAGTGTGTCAAATTGGTACTACCGCGCGCGACGGTGGCGCTTTCTAGTGTGTCAAATTGGCACTCACCGCGCGCCCAACGCGTATGCTACACTTTTTGCCACATCCGCCGATGCGCTCCTGCCGGCAACTATCAAAATTACTTTATACTGCGCCTTATTGCAGTGCCTGTCGGGGGCGGTCGATGGCCTAGCAGCTTAAGCGCAAGACCACGAACCGAAAAGACGTGGGCTCGAGTCCAGGCAAAGGCAATTACAAAAAAAAAAAAAAGATTTTTCTCAAGTAGATTAGATAGAGGGATTCAATAGTGGGAACTGTGATATAAATAAGAGGTCGAATTGCGCGGCGGTGGCTGCTCTGAAACTATAGTCGCTCTCAAAAGGCGGCTGCTCAAAAAATAATGGTCACTCTCAAAAGGTGGCTGCTATGAAACTATTGGTCGCTCTCAAAAGGTGGCTGCTATGAAACTCTGGTCACTCTGAAAAGCTGTCTGCTCTGAAACTATGGTCACTCTCAAAAGCTGGCTGCTCTGAAACTATGGTTACTCTCAATAGCTGGCTGCTCTGAAACTATGGTCACTCTCAAAAGCTGGCTGCTTTGAAACTATGATCACTCTCAAAAGCTGGCTGCTCTGAAACTATGATTACTCTCAGAAGCTGGCTGCTCTGAAACTATGGCCGCTCTCAAAAGGTGGCAGCCCTGAAACTATGGTCACACTAAAAAGGTGGCAATGCGCTCAACATATTGGTCTATCAAATAAAAATATTAAAAAAATCTTACATATAAATAAGAGGTCGAAATTGCGCGGCGCGCGCAAAAAAAGTGATTTTATACCGAAAAATTCGACCACATTCGGTCGTTGAAAACGCTGTAACTCCATTAGTTTGACTCTAAAAGACTCAAAAATTTTACACAATGTGCTCAACATATTGGTCTATCAAATAAAAATATTAAAAAATTTTTACATATAAATAAGATGTCGTAATTGCGCGGCGCGCGCAAAAAAAGTAATTTTATACCGAAAAATTCGACCACATTCGGTCGTTGAAAACGCTGTAACTCCGTTAGTTGACTCTAAAAGACTCAAAAATTTTACCCAATGTGCTCAACATATTGGTCTATCAGATAAAAATATTAAAAAAATTTTACATATAAATAAGAGGTCGAAATTGCGCGGCGCGCGCAAAAAAAGTGATTTTATACCGAAAAATTCGACCACATTCGGTCGTTGAAAACGCTGTAACTCCGTTAGTTTGACTCCTACTCAAAAATTTTACACAATGTGCTCAACATATTGGTCTATCAGATAAAAATATTAAAAAAATCTTACACATAAATAAGAGGTCGAAATTGCGTGGCGCGCGCAAAAAAAGTGATTTTATACCGAAAAATTCGACCACATTCGGTCGTTGAAAACGCTGTAACTGCGTTAGTTTGACTCTAAATTACTTAACATTTTTACACAATGTTCTCAACATATTGGTCTTTTAGAAAAAAAATATATAAAAATACAAAATACAAATAGACGGAGGAATTGCGCGGGGAACGCATTTAAAGTACTTGTATACGTCAAAATTCGTCAAAACTCGGTCTGTTAAAACGCTGTAACTACGATAGTTTGACTCTTAATTACTTAACATTTTTACACAATGTTCTCAACATATTGGTCTTTTAGAAAAAAATATAAAAAAAAAAATATTTAAAAAAGCTGGTATGCAACTTTGTTATAGCTCTAGAAACATAAAAGAAAACACCTTCCCCGTCAAGATAAAATCGTTTTTGGCCATTTTATGCAGGTTTAACCGAAAACAAGAGTCATCAAATATGTCGAACAAAATGCATAAAGGTTAAACAACATCAAAGCTAAGACGATTTTTCTATTCATTTTCCATATTTTCGACTATAGATCATATGGGAGCTATATGATATAGTTGTCCGATTTTGATCAAATTTAATTCATAATTCAAGAGTCGTAAGAAAACTCTATATTCCAAAAATCATACTTGTCTGATGAAAAACAACGATGTTATATGTAATTTTATTTCCGTTATTTCGATATAGATTTTTCGATCTTTTCTATGGCAGCTATAAGATATAGTTGTCCGATTTTATGATTTTTTTTTCTCAGTATAAGAGTTGGTAAAAAGCTTGATTTTCAAAAAATCTTGCTCGTGGGATAAAAAACAACGATGTTATCAATTTATTTCCATTAATTCTATATATATTTTTCAAACTCTCCTATGGCAGCTATATGATAGAGTTATCCGATTTTGATCAAATTTAATTCGAAATTCAATAACAGTTCGAAAACGCCATCTTGAAGAAATCAAGTCGATCTGATCAAAAAGAACGGCGTGAGAACTTTTTATTTCATTCTCTCGTATGGGAGCTATCCGATATAGTCGGCCGATCCGGGCCGTTCCGACTTATATACTGCGTGCAATAACTACACACCTTTTGGGAAAGTTTCAGCGAGATAGCTTTCAAACTGGAGACTAGTTTGCGCGGAAACGGACAGACGGACATACGTATTCCGATTCTGCTCGTGATGTCGATCAAGAATATATATACTTTATGGGGTCTGAGGTGTCTCCTTCACTGCGTTGCAAACTTCTGACTGAAATTATAATACCCTTTTGCTCCGCAAGGGTATAAAAACTGCGTGATAATTGTCTTCCCGTTATTTTTTTCGTTCTCTCGTATGGTAGCTATCCGATATAGTTGCCCGATCCGGCCCGTTCCGACTTATACAGGGCGTGCAATAACTACACAACTTTTTTTAAAATTTCAGCTAGATAACTTTAAAATTGAGAGACGAGTTTACATAGAAAGGGACAGACAAACAGACGTATTTCGATTTATATCGTGATGCTGATCAAGAACATATAAGCTTCGTGGTGACTGTCGGTGTGTGCATCATGCTTTTCTCTCTTATCGACACACAAGTATATGAGTATGCATATATGTATGTATATATGAAAACAACTCCGCTGCCGGTGTCTCCGATGGCGTAGCAAGTGGTTTTGGATCGAGTCAAGAGCCCTTGAAGGGGAGTCAGACTGCGATAAAATTTAACCTATTTTATTTCTTAAGAAATTCAAATAATTTAAAATAAGCACAAATGTTTAGATTATGTAAAAGAAAGTGTTTTATATTTTATTATTTTGTCTATTAACAGGTAGAAACTCAGCGATGTAATTTTCTGAATATAAGGTAAATGTTACTCTTAGAATTATTAGGGTGTAGTAAGTAGAGAATATAACAAATTCACTATAGCAATATATATTTATCTATCGTATCATAATTTTATGCCGCATGCATAGGTAAAACAAAATTGTAGCTGATATTCGAACGTTTAACATGGTCTTTATTTTAGTCAGGTGAAAAGCCAATAAATATGGCAGAATACATGTCGTAGAGGTAATTCCTCTGAAGTTAGATCAAGTATGAAACAAGAGCTCAGATTTCAGTAATAACTTGCAAAAATCATTCGTATCGATATATCCATTAAAAATTAACAGATAAGCCCTTTTGTTTATAGTTTGTTTCGATTAAGTTAATATTTATTACGTTACATATTTTTGAATAGGAAAAGTAATTAACTCTTTTTAAATAGAACGGCAAAATAGCAAATAAGAAAATAGCTTTATAAGTTCCCTTTGAAGAATACAAAAATGCAATTCAGTTAAATAATTATTGTTTTAATTACCCTTAACTTAATTATAAATTTATAATATTCTTTTGAAAGCCGTGTATTTTTATCTCAAATTATTGTGTGATTTAATACATTAATTGAACTAGCTGAATCATAAATATTATTAATTAAGTAAATTATTCCCTTACAGAACAAAAAGCTTGTTTAACGACTAAAACCAACTTCCACTTCCTAGCTTTGAACTAAGTCCGCCAATGCCCTTTCCTAGTAAATTTCCAACGCGACCGGCAACCACATTTGTAACAGCTGCAGCTTGAGCAGCTGCCACTTTTGTTTTTGGTAACCCCCTTGGTATATTAGAGGTAGATTCGTCTCCGGTGTCTTCCTCGTCTCCTTCTCGAATCTCATCACAGGGTCTGCATAAGAAAAGATGCATGTTGCAATAAATTGTTGTTTTAATGTACAAACTAACTTACTCATCTTCACTAACATCAGGCATTGTTAAAGCACATGTTGCTTCCTCCGTTGCCATACGCTGTGCGACTGCCTGATATGCTTTAGAATTTAACTTGTCTTCCAATATACCTTGCAGTTCAAAGTCTGAATAGATTTTCTAAGTGAAAAATGAAAACAGATTTAACCCTTTACATGGCAATAACTCCGATTTTCTTGATTTTTTTTTGTTTGGTAGATAAGTGAAAATAAAAAATACACTTCTTTTTAATGAAGAATGAAGAAATGTCACTTCTTAAAATGTGCGGACTAGTTCGCACAATTTAAATAGAGGAAAAGTATTGGATACAGGTAAAAAAAAAACAAAACAGAAACAGGAAACAAGGTAGCTATCTAAAAACTCAAAAGTATAAAACGTATAGATTCATCACAGATGAAAAAAATTAAAGGTTTTTTTTCCTATATATGTCCGTCCCTGGATATTGTAAAGAAACGTTAAAAAATATCATTTGAGAAAAATCATGCTTTTATGATGAAAACAAAAGGCGATATGCGAGTTTGTTGATATTACTGTATATATATATAGATATAGAAATACGCATTTAAGCCATATTTTTCTCTTTTCCATACAAATTTTTTCCGACATTGTCACCTTCAAAAAAACCATAAAAAATAGAAGAAAAATTATTTTTTAAAAATTCTTTTTGCAGTTACTATTATTTTTGTTTAAAGAAACTTTTTGCATCCAAAAATCCAAAGAAGTTTGCAACGCAGTGATGGAGACACCTCAGACCCCATAAAGTATATATATTCTTGATCAGCATCACGATCTGAATCGAAATCCGTCTGTATGTCTGTCCGTCGGTCCGTCTGTCTGTTTCTATGTAAACTAGTCTCTCAGTTTTATCTTCCTGAAAACTTTCTCCCATTGGAGAGAATGAAATAAAATATTCTTACGCCGTTGATCAGATCGACTTGATTTCTTGAAGATGACGTTTTCTAACTACTATTGAATTTCGGATTAAATTTGATCAAAATCGGATAACTCTATCATATAGCTGCCATAGGAGAGATCGAAAAATATATATAGAATTAATGGAAATAAATTGATAACAACATCGGGGTTTTTTATCCGATAAGCATGATTTTTTTAATATCAAGTTTTTTAACAACTCTAAAATTGAGAAAAAAAGTTTCATAAAAATCGGACAACAACAAAAATCTATATAGAAATAACGGAAATAAAATTATAAAATCGTTGTTTTTCATCAGATAAGCATGCATTTTGGAATATAAAGTTTTTTTTTTTTAATAACGAATTAAATTTGATCAAAATCGGACAACTATATCATATAGCTGCCATATGATCTATAGACAAAAATATGGAAAATAGATAGAAAAATCGTCACAGCTTCGATGTTGGCTAGCAGAAAAATTGCAAAAAATTGTCCGGGTTCCGCAAAACGCGTTTTTACACATAAAAAAGAATGTCCGAGTTGCTCAGAAACGCTTTTTGCACATAAAAAATAAATGTCCGAAGTGCGCAAAATGCCGATTACGGTAAAAAAAAAAAAACATCCGAGTTGCGCTAAAACGATTTTTGCACATAAATAAATATAATAATAATATAAAAAATATAACATATACATACTTATTATATTTCAGGAGATTTGATTTTAGCTACTGGGGCGCCAAGATTTTTTTAGAAAAAAACTAAACTGAAAATTACTTAATTAATAAATGCTATATGAAAAAAATAAGTCATTTTTCTAAACACAAAAAAATAAAAACTAAAAAAATAAACTTATATTATTTATAATATGTAATATAAAAAAAATCATAAATAAATAATATTAGGTTGTTTGGTAATGACATACCGGTTTTTACATTCAAATTTCGCACTTCGCTTGTGAAGTCAAATATAATCGTATCTGGCAATGCTGTATATCGTTTGAAATGACATATAGTTTGTTTACATGAGCTTCCTCGTTAAAAAATTTGAAATTTTATTTCGCACAGGGAAAAACTGCTGCGGAATCTCGCAGACATATTATTGCTGTCTTAGGAGATAACAAACTTTCGATTCAAATCGCAGAACAGTGGTTTAGGCGATTCCGAAGTGGCAATTTTGATACCGAAACACCCAAGCCTTCCGGACGACCAGTGACCGTTGATACGGATAAAATCATGGAAATAGTGGATCGAGATCGTCATGTGACTATTAGAACCATCGCAGAGGAGCTGCAACTAAGCACGGAAACCGTCCATAGGCATTTAAAGTCGAAAAATGTAACAAAAAAGCTCGATGTTTGGGTTCCTTACAAGTTATCCCAAAAAAAACCTTTTCGACCGTGTATTAATCTGCGAATCTTTGTTGCACGGTAATAAACTCGACTCATTTCTGGATCGGCTAGTCACTGGTGATGAAAAATGGATCACATATGACAACATAAAGCTTAAAAGATCCTGGTCGAGGCACGGTGAGTCGTCTCAAACGGTGGCAAAGCCAGGACTGACGGCTCAGAAGGTGATGCTGAGTGTATGGTGGAATATCAGAAGAATTATCCATTATGAAGTGTTGCCCTATGGCCAAACCATCAATTCTGACCTCTACTGTGAACAACTGGAGCGATTGAAGATTGCACTTGAACAGAAGCCATGGTGAATCGTAAGGGCGTGACAACGCCAGGCCTCATAAATCTTTGGTGACGCGTCACAAGCTATGGGAGCTTGGTTGGGAAGTGTTAATGCATCCACCTTATAGTCCGGACATTGCCCCAAGCGATTACCATCTGTTTTTGGCCATGCTAAATTTTTCCGATGGACTGAAATTGAGTTCAAGGGAGGATTGTGAAATCCGAATCGCCGAGTTTTTTGCCAGTAGGGACAAGGACTTCTTTAGGAGAGGCATATACAAGTTACCATCAAAATGGCAGAAAATCATCGAAGGCAACGGTACATATAGCACTTAAATCGGACAATGCTAACTGTGTTAAAATCGTCGTCAAAAATCAATAAAGAAACCGGTATGTCATTACCAGGGCTAACATAGTTATGTTCTTAAAAACGTAAAAATATGTATGGATTTATGGACGAAAAAATAGAGAAATATGGACGAAATATGGACGAAAAAGTTGACAAATATGGAATAAAATTTAAAAATATGGATAAATATAGGTAGTATAGACGAAAAAAGGGATAAATATAGGTATAAAAATGGATAAACGTAGACGATTATATGGATCATATTAACTTTTTATGACAATGAACAATTAGAAATCGCTACAAACAAAAGTGCGCCGTTTGTCTCAAAGATCAATGCAGAACAATATGACATGTTGTGTCAGATTAGTAAAAACAAAACTACGGCGTTTGTCACTCAATATGTGTTTATATGATGAAAATGAACGCTCAACATCGCAAGATGCAACAGGAGCATTTGCATATGCATTCAGTTCAGCTGGTGATAAATTCAGGAATTCTGTAGAACTATCAATGAGATTTCCTGCTAACATTCGCGATATGTCCTGAAGAATAAGAACTGAAAGCATGAAATATGGAATAAAAACTGAATCTTTAAATATAAATTGCATCATAAATGTTACATTCGATGATACATATTTTGATTGATTAACGACGCAACGATGTTTTGTTTACGTTATTTATTATCGAGTATAAGGCAAACGACAGAAATTTCATAATATTTGAGCCAAACATATCTTTCTATAGGTTTTCAGACACTTTAATGCTCAAAATATAATTTTATTCAAGTGATTGTGTAAAATATGGATTTATAGAAAAAAGGCGAAAATATGGAAATAAATATTTTTTCATTTAAAAACATAACTCTGTTAGCCCTGGTCATTACAAAACAACCTAATATATATATATGGGTTCAGATGAGACATCTTACTGCTCTGCAAATTTCTGACTGAATTTTGAGTACCTTCTGCAAGGCCATACGAATATTAATCGCTCCTTACATAAGCTACAATTATTGTTAGCTAAGGTGTAAAACAAATTGCAAGACAAAGTTCAATAGTATTACCTTTATAATTAGGGAAATTGATGAAACTTGAGCATAGTGCAAAGCGTGATCCAACCGTTCTGACAGCCAGTTACACAGCATATTGATCTGCTGCGAGTACCACTGTTCAAAAAAATTTAAGGTCCATAAATCGTCGCCAATCTTTCCGCGAATTTGATCCATATTGTTTCTAAAGAAATTAACGTATCCTTGTCCAAGGTCTTTTCCTGAGCTCGAAACATTAGTAAAGCTAAGAATCGAGCCGATTAGGCTTCCTTCATCGTATCGTGCCAATTTTGACAAAGTCGACTCTAGCACTGACATAAGTTTTCCGCTTAGACCTTGTGTCATAGCTACATTCGCTTTATCAATTTGGTCATCAATTTTCGCATGAAATTTATACTGTACAGAACGAATAATGTAAGTAGTAAATCACTTTCACAAGTTTACATTAGTACTTACCAAATCAATGCCGTCAATAGTAGTTAATTTAAAGCTTTGATTTTTAGCATCTAATATCACATTGACCATAGCGCACATTTCGGAAGGTAAAATATAGTCAGTAGATATGAACGCAATGTTTTTTTTTAACCATGACTGAAAAGACGAATCCGTTCTTTGTATACACTGCTCGATCATATCAACGGCCATCATTTTTAGACGCTGTTCTAGGTGTTGTCGAAACTCTGCATCTGGCCAGTGTAGGTCTCTTATGAAAGACTGTAGAGCATCTAATTTCCAAAATAAATCTTCGGAGGTGGCACACCCGTTTCTAAGCATAAAAAACGGCAAAATTGAGATATATAAGTATATTTTATTGATTTTAAAATACTGATTCAGAGTTATTAAAAATAGGAATAAAAAAGCAGGTAAAAAATAATTCGTTTAATTGGCTTCATACTTTTCATACACATCGCTTTATACAATAAAAAAATATAGATTCTTTACCATCCAAGTGTTGACTTACTTTTTTTTATACTTACTAATACCTACTTTATATTAAAAATCGTTAGGATATTTGTAAACATGTTACTTTCATAATTTACATAAACTACTTAGGACAATCTCAAACCAAACAAGAAATGCAGCTAGCTTCGGCAAGCCGAAGCTTATATACCCTTGCAGTCATCAAATATGTCGAACAAGATGCATAAAGGCTAAACAACATCGAAGCTAAAACGATTTTTCTATTCATTTTCATAATTTCGACTGCAGATCATATGGGAGCTATGTGATACAATTGTCCGATTTTGATCAAATTAAATTCGTAATTCAAGAGTCGTAGAAAACTCTACATTCCAAAAACCATACTTGTCTGATGAAAAACAACGATGTTAAAATTTTATTTCCGCTATTTCTATATGGATTTTTTCGATAGAAAAGCCATAGGAAAGCCTATGGCCGCTATAAGATATAGTTGTCCGATTTTTATGAAACTTTTTCTTAATATAAGAGTTGTTAAAAAACTTGATATTCAAAAAATCATGCTCGTGGGATAAAAAACAATTTATTTCCATTAATTCTATATATATTTTTCGATATCTCCTTTGGAAGCTATATGATAGAGTTATCCGATTCTGATCAAATTGAAGAAATCAAGTCGATCTGATCAAAACCAAAGGCGTGAGAATTTTTTATTTTATTCACTCGTATGGGAGCTATCCGATGTAGTCACCCGATCCGGCCCGTTCCGACGTGCAAAAACTACACAAATTTTGGTAAAGTTTCAGCAAAATAGCTTTAAAACTGAGAGACTAGTTTAAAGAGAAAGTTATTGTAGTTGTTGCACGCAGTATAAGTCGGAACGGGCGGGATCGGCCGACTATATCGGATAGCTCCCATACGAGAGAATAAAATAAAAAATTCTTACACCGTTGTTTTAAATCACATTGAGTTGATTTCTTCCATATGGTGTTTTTTAACCACTATCGAATTTCAAATTTAATTTTATCAAAATCGGATAACTATTTCATATAGCTGCAATTGGAGAGAATGAATTTCAAATTAAATTTCATAAAAATCGGACCATTGCCTCATATAGCTGTCATAAAAAATAGTCGAAAGTTTGCAAAAATTTATACAAAATATCGTCATAGTTTCGATGTTGTTTAGCCTTTGTGTATTTTGTTCGACGTATTTGATATTCGGCAAGCCGAAGCCAGCTTCCTTTCTTGTCTCCGTTAATTTCCATTAATTATATAATAAATTTGATAAAAATCGGACAACTATATCATACAGCTGCCATATGATCTATAGTCCAAAATATGGAAAATTAATAGAAAAATTGTCATAGCTTCGATGTTGTTTAGCCTTTATGTATTTTGTTTGACATATTTGATGACTGCAAGGGTATATAAGCTTCGGCTTGCCGAAGCTAGCTTCTTTTCTTGTTTATGGTTAGAATTAACCGATTTATTTCAAATAAGCACCATTTTTTTCTACGATCGATTGTCATTTTGATGATAATTTCATGATACCCCTCTCATAAAATCCTTCGTCCTTATTTGCAAAAAACTGAGCCACTCGGTTTTCACAATCCTCTCTTGTAGCTATTTTACGCTACCCAAATCGTTGGGAAAAAGTGGTAGTCACTTGGTGCGATGTCCGGGCTATAAGGTGGATGCAAAAGAACCTCCCATCCAAGCTCTCGGAGCTTCTGGCGAGTGGCTATTGATGTGAGTGGTCTAGCGTTGTCCTGATGGAGAACAATTCCTTTCCTATTGGCCGAAGCGGGGCGCTTCTGGGCAATTGCTTCCTTCAGACGGTCCAATTGTTGTCAGTACAAAACCGAATTATGTGTTTGGTCATAGGGGAGCAGCTCATAGTAGATAATTCCTTGCAAATCCCACCAAACACACAGCAAAACCTTTCTGGCCGTCAATCCTGGCTTAGCCACCGCCTGGGCCGGCTCACCCTTGTTCGACCACGATCGTTTTCGCCTCACGTAGTCGTAAGTGACCCACTTTTCTTCACCAGTCACCATCCGCTTCAAAAACGGGTCGGTTTTGTTGCGATTCAGCAGATCGAAATTCGGTCCAAAAGGTTTTTTTTGATAGCTTATGTGGCACCCATACACCAAGCTTTTTTGTGTATCCTGCCTTTGTTAAATGGTTCCAAACTGTTCTTTGAGCAATGTTTAGCTCCTGGGCAACTGATATACTGTTTGGTCAGACTCAACGATTTCCATTATTTTGTCGGCATTTTTGACGACTGGCCTTCCGCAGAGTGCCTCATCTTTAAAATCAAAATTCCCAGAACGAAATCGACGAAACCAGAATTGTGTATGGTTGGCAGTTACAGTATTAGGGCCATATACACCATTAACATTTTCAGCTGCCTGGCTTGCGTTTTCGCCTTTGTCAAAGAAAAATTGTAAAATATAGCGACTTTTTTCTTTGCCGGTCTCCATATTTATCAAGCCTTTAAAGCGTTTGTGTTATCGATCACAAAACTTTTCTAAGAAGCTTTTATAGTACGAAAGCCGAATTCCTACTTACTGAAATTAAATCGGACTTATACAATGCGAGATACAGATCACTAAAGCCATCTATCTTCAAATATGTAATGAATTACTTTTTACTAGACCTTATACAATGGAAAAAAAATTTTACCGTAGTTGTTTTTAATCCCACGAGCATTATTTTCAAAATATGGAGCTTTATAATAAGCCTTGAATCGACAACGTGATCATATAGCTGCCATAGGAAAGATCGGAAAATCTATATAGAATTAACAAAAAAAAAATATCGTTGTTTTTCATCAGACAAGCATGATTTTTGGAATATAGAGTTTTCTAATAACTCTTGAATTATGAATAAATAATTTGTTATTCAAGTGTCGTTAGAAAACTGTATATTCCAAAAATCATGATTTTCTGAAAAGAAATAACGATATTATCATTTTATTTCCGTTAATTCTATATAGATTTTTCGATCTTTCCTATGGCAGCTATATGATATAGTTGTCCGATTTTTATGAAATTTTTTTATAAATCAAGGCTAGTTAAAAAACTTGATACTCAAAAAATTATAGTCGTGTGATGAACAACAATGACGTTATCAATTGATTTCAATTAATTCTATATATATTTTTGGATCCCTCCTATGGCAGCTATATGATAGAGTTATCCGATTTTGATAAAATTTAATTCGAAATTCAATAGTAGTTAGAAAACGCCATCTGGAAGAAATCAAGTTGATCTGATCAAAAGCAACGGAGTGAGAATTTTTTTTCAATCTCTCGTATGGGAGCTATTCGATATAGTCGGCCGATCCGGCTCGTTCCGACTTATATACTGCGTGCAATAACTCGACAACTTTTGGGAAAGTTTCAGCAAGATAGCTTTAAAACTGAGAGACTAGTTTGCGCGGAAACGGACAGACGGACAGACCTTATGGGGTCTGTGGTGTCTCCATCACTGCGTTGCAAACTTCTGACAGAGATTATAAAAATTAATCGACACAGGCTTATTTATTAATATTTTTTTTAATATAAGTTGTCAAAGGAAAACTAATTTTTTGGCACGTTTTGAAAAACTTTTTTGCATAGAAATAGACAGACTTACAAGCGACAGACTGACGTATCCATATCAACTCAGATAGTAATATAGATTAATAACATATGCGAGGCGTGTTCGAAAAGGAAGGTGAATTTTTAAATTTCGTCGGCAACGTATTTTCGATTATCGTTATTTTTGTGTGTTGGTTTTTGATTTTTGAAGTGTAAAGTTTTGAAGTGAAACTTCTTTAGGCGCGTTATGGATTTTCGGGGACGGAGTAAAACCGCGATTCATGACCGTCACGAAAAAGCGAGGATCCCCATCCCTTTCTAACCGCTGACGAACGATGTCTCTATCCTCCTCTATCCTTTCTCGCTCTCAGCGCGCTCGCACAAAGTTGAGAGCCTAAAAATCTAAAAATAGAATGCGGTTGCTGTTGAAAAAGGGGTGAGAGGTGTGAATGTCAAAAGGAATTCAAATCGAACAGGTTGCATACAGATATTAATTGGCACCATAATTTCTATCCATTTTATTTGACCTAGAAATGAAAACACATATCGATATGTATTTGTCTTCTTCTTCTTCTCAATCGGTTTGTTAACTTTTGAGAGTCGCCAGCACATTTCGAGACCTCTAAAATTAAGCGTCTAAAAAGGCTTTTATTCGGTTTCCTACAGAATTTCAATTTTAAAAATGAGTAGTGATGAAGAAGTTTCACTTCTGTCGTGCGTAGGCTGGACACACCCCTTTTTTTTAAGACTCTTGAATTTTGAATTAAATTTCATAAAAATCGCACGATTATATCATATAGCTGTCAAATGAACAATATATAAACTAATAGAAAAATCGTCATAGCTTCCATGTTGTTTAGCCTTTATATATTTTATTCGAAATATTTGATATTTTCAAGGGTATACAAGTTTATATATAGTTTTCTCTCTTGTTATTTATATTAACAAACTAGATATCCTTGAAACTAAGTACGTGCACTACCCCATAAGTGACGCGAAAGAAAACTAGCGGGAAAGGCTTTTAAAGAAATCGTTGCGGATAAGAAGAGCTCGCTACATCATATCATATGAATTGAAGCCACTAGCTAAAGTAAAGGTTTTAAACTGGGTAAGTTTATAATTTAATAAGCATGCATTCCGGTTTTCAAAGAAAAGCTCATGGGATAAGAAAGGCTAGCCTCATATGAAAGAAAGTGCATTCTAATAATCCAGTAAGTAATAAGTAATTATTAAACTGGATAAACTTTGTTTTAAATTAGCATGCGCTCTTATTGCTCGTTTTTGGTTAGCATTTTTGAAGACAAGTAAAAAGAAGAAAAGCGCAATTTTGTTTTCATAACTCATCTTGTCCACCTGTGCAATTAACCCGCAATAAGGCATCATTTAACTTTAAATAAAGACAACCTGTTTGGGTATTTTAATCTATAAAATTTATAAAAAAAAACTATACATATTATTTGTAGTGATCGGTTTGATCCAATAATCACATTCAAAAACTTCTTTTAAAAAAGGTTTAATAACTAGGATGTACTGAATATCGAGATGTTTTATCATATTTTTCTTAAATATTTTTTTTATCCAACCATATTTTAATCTGCGACTTTTATAATATTATATAATATTATCTAATATTATATTATATAATAAATTTTATATAATATATATATTCGGTAATATCTCTATGGGAAATTTTAGAATGTAATAGAAGCTTACCAAAACAATAAACGCATCATACAACACATTATTCAAAATTATACGTCTTGCTAAAGAGCAATCAGAAACATTTTAAATATCGATGCCTAAAATGTTAATTGGAGATTCAAATCATTTTAATGATATTTTTTATGGTATCAAACAAACTAAAAAAGGTTTAAGAATGAATGATTGAACATAGTTATCTTTTTCAATAATTTAAGTGAATAGTAAACTACAATTTTTATTGGTAGTTATGTTGGCTAATATTTGTAAACTTGCAAAACGCATTTAACTGCTGACAAGTTTAATTTTTTGGGCAATTCATAAAATTTGGCAGAACACAAAATGCAAAACCAAATGCAGACAATTTTAAAATCTACTGCTATATATAGGTTGACTTTTTTAAAAACCTCATATCGTCGCTCGCCGCAGTTGAATTTGATTGCTTTGGTAACTTCGGCACATAAAAATTTACTTGATCTTTTTTGCCGCCGAGAAGCATTGATGGGTTGAGAGCTGCTGTATTGAGCGCCTGGGCAGCATTGTTTAGTGCTGCAGGGTTCAAAGCAGCGTTAATCCTAAAGTTTTATAGAATAAAAATATAATTACAACACAAACACTACGTGTGAATGCAAAATATATAATGCGACCTTGCCAGTCTGAGTTCAGTTTTGAATTTTAGATAGTTTTGGAATATTAAATAGCCAATGATTATATACTTTAACTATGAATAATGTTGGCAACATGTGCTTGCATTATTGATAATTTTAAAAATATTTTTTTTTTCTTTTAGCAAAGAACAGAATAGGGTTACTTACCCTTTACTTTCCCAGCGCTCTTTTTCAAATCCCTTATGAATAGACTGTGCTATTGAAGATTCCATTAGATCTACATACCGCACTACTAATGGTGCAAAAGTGTCGCGAAGGTGCTGATGAAAGCGTCCATTGCGCAAATTATCTGCAACAAAAAAAATTGCCAATTTAATAATGATTTTAAACAAGGTAAGCTTAGGGGACTATTTCTTTAGAAGCTTCAAAAAATAAAAATAAATAAAAATATTTCTTCTAAACTATCCTAGAATGTTTCGCTAAAATTTCAGAAACAAATTCAAATTCAATCCAACTGTCAATGACAACAGACGTATTTTTATATCGCTCCGCCGTTTAACTCTAAATATAATACATCGTAAAGAGCCGAACTCTTTTTCGCGAAAAGACGCCCAGTGGGTTCGCATGGGTACTTGTGTTCATGTTGCCTTTAGAAATGATAAAATACTTAGTGTTCTAATTACTTATATTAGTGATAATACAGTTTGTCACAAAAGAAAGAGTTAACAGAACCGACAAGAAATGCAACACTGCGGCACATCACAAAAATAGCCGTGGAGTGCCCAAAGCCCGTCCCCCGACTCCTACAACATAACCAACGATCTGCTTATTGCAAGAACGACCAGCACAATGACCTCGTTTAAAATGGTGTCTTCGACACTAACGACGACAACAACCACATCAACTGCAGTTTCTGTTTCGCCAGCTCTTACTGACAAGCTAGCCCCTACCCAACCCAAAAATACAAAAAGTTTACGGTTAGTTAAATCAAACAGGAATCAATTGATACGTGCGAATTAAAAGAAAATTAAGCCCATAAAGATATAACGGTTTTTCTTTTCATTTCTATACATAATAGCTATACAGACATCTGATTTTCCTGAAGTTAAATTTAAAAGCCAAGAGTCGTTTGAATTTTAAAATTTAATTTTGACATACATATACATACTATATATAGATTTTACGATCTTAAAAACCCGACGTTAAAGTCGTGTCGTTATTAAATTAAGAAATTTGAAAGAAATAACTTACCATCAGCTCTTAAATAATCATTTAAAATTTGAAATAATGGGAAAGAATCCCAAGTGTCTGGAGCCTGTTCTGATAAAACTCTATCCATATCAACTGCAAAGAGAGACCAAAATATCTCCGCGTGTTCAACCAGCAAGTCGCTGAACCATGCAAAAGCCTATAGAAAATAAAAGTGTTGTTATTAATCATTGTTACATTTAATCTTTTTAAGGTACAGCATTAATAAATTAAATTATTGTTAATGAACAATATTAATAAATAGTTGCACACATACAGAGTTATTTATCAAGTCTCTAAAGTTACTATTACATGTTTGTTGAGTGTAGGTAGAAAGTATAGTTTAGTATGCAATTACAACATCACAAAAGTGATAACATATTTTAAGCAATAGTTTATTATGGTACAACAAGAAAATGAAGATAAAAAGTATTTACAGGGAAACGGATAGCTTTATCCTACCATCTTTGTTTAGCAAAACATTAGAAGAATAAACTGAATTTGTCTTAACATCTTCGTAAATGACCATGCTAAATTTGTGCATTTTTTTTTTGTTATGATGGGGCAAAGGTAAGTTAAAAAGCTTAAGCCTAGTATGCAGATCGAAAAAACCGGTATCAAAGTTGCCACTTCGGAATCGCCTAAACCACTGTTCGGCGGTTTGAATCGAAAGTTTGTTATCCCCTAAGACAGCAATAATCTGTCTGCGAAATTCCGCAGCAGTTTTTCCCTGTGCGAAATAAAATTTCCAAATTGCCCGAATTTCTGCGTTTGTGAACTCCATTTCAATCGATTGTAATTTTTTAACGAGGAAGCTCATGTAAACAAACTATATGTAATTTTAAAGGTGATGCCAATGCCTTTCAAACGATATACAGCATTGCCAGATACGATTATATTTGACTTCACAAGCGAATCGCGAAATTTGAATGTAAAAACCGGTATGTCATTACCAAACAACCTAATATTTTATATATTACGATAAACAGTTATTGACGTAATTCGACGATTCACAGCCGGTGAAAACTTAGACGAATACCGATCAAATCATGAACTTTTTCTAATTAGACCGGCATGTGGCATGTCGTGACATCGTCAAGGAGATGGGAGCTAGTCACCAAACCATTTAACACCATCTGCGGCAGGCTGGATCTCTGCTGGAGCTCTATTTGAGCTCTGCGTGATTTGACGCAAGAACCTTCTGGACCGAATCAACGCCTGCAATAGGCTGCTGAAACAGAACGAACTAGACCCTGTCTTGCAGCAGATGGTGACTGGCGACGAAAAATGGATCTAATACGACAATATAATGTGAAAATAGTCGTGGTAAAAGGCCGTTGAAGTCTTCCAACAGAATAACCCCAGACCAAACCCTTCGCTGATGACTCCTCAGAAGCTATAGAAGCTTGGGAGCTTTTATCGGATACACAATATATCCATGGCGAACTCCATTCTGTTCGAAATCTGTTCACTATAACACGCTTTAAACATACATTAAATAAAAAGCACAAAAGTGGAAAAAAGATATTTGACAAGCTTATATATCATCCAAATTATTATAACATAGAAAGGTGTAATAAAAGCAAGACTTTATGGGGTCGAAAGTGTTGCAGACTTTTCAACAAATTCAGTATATTCTTTTGCTGTACGACACGACAAGCCAAGAAGAGAGTGGTTGGTGAAGGGGATGTGGTTGTATTTCGATTTTGACAAATTTGTGAATTGCATTTACATCAGATTTGTGTGAGTAGCATTTCCGTATTTTTCGTTATTTGCAGAGTACGCGCTATACAAGGCGACATAGGCCTCTTCGGTCGCTCATCAACACACGACTGAACGTCGTAGTTCTCTGAGATCAGTCGTTCGGCAATGTTCGGGAGGCGGGCATTGGAGCAGACTCCACTAGTATGATCATAAACATCGGACGACTATATCATAAACTTAGTTGCCTTAGGAAAGACCATGGTCATGATTTTTTAATAACTAGTTGATTTTTTTCTGTGTAAGCAACATGATATAGTAGTTAGATTTTCATGAAATCTTAATTCTATATCAAGAGTCGATCAAGAGCCAACCAAACCATCGGACGGACACTATAAGCGGAGTCATTATAACAGGATTCTACTGTATGTACATAAAATCATGCTTTAAAAAACAACAGAGAACGAGAGCCATGACTATCAGATACACCATGCAAACTTTTGAAAATCTCGACTTCCATTTACACAGCAAGTCTGAAGGTCTCAGGTCTCAGGTTTATGTATGTAAGCGGCCGTGGCAAATTTGGAAAAACGGCATTCGCTGAGTTTTTGTGAGCAGAAACCAGATAAAAGATCAACACTTTTGTAACACAGCAACTGTGGGCGCCACAAAATTTAACAAACCTGTGCTGCGTCTGAATAGCAAAAATGATAAATTTCGATTCCAATATTCTTGCCTATTTAGTTCCCGAGATCTCAAAAGTCATACGGACGAACGTATGGTTATAATGATAATGATCCTGATCAAGAATATATACACTTTATGGGGCCTTCAACCTGATACATACTTGTAGGTCTTGTAGCTATTGCAGGTAGTATCTTTATCCCAGATTTCGCGGTTTGCATAAAAAAATACGGCCCCAATTTGTTCTCACTTATTTCATTAACAGAATCTGCAAAACAATCTAACCCCAATATCTAATGTGAAATAATTGCTATTGTGTTTGAACTTATGCTTATCATCGATACATGCCGTCGGTACTGGGGAGGTATATACTGCATGTGTCGGCATACAGTAACGAAATGAGGATCCATCAGCTGATGCTGCACTAGCCAGTTCGGATGTGTTAATGAGTCCAGCATTGGCGGTAAAATCAACATCGCTTTCATTGCGGCTTCCTGCTACAGCACCATCTTCGTTACGCAATTTTTCTTTATCCATTTTAAGCAGCTAAATAAATCGGGCATAGGGTGTTAAATAGGTGTAATTACAAACATGTGTCGGTACTTATTTGTAAAAAAGGTATAAAGTCTCAAAATCACAATGTGCTGTAACTTTTGATGAGTATTTAAAAAAAAAGTAAAATACCAGGCTTTAATTAACAAATAAAGTATAATGCACTATTTTACTTTGGACCTGGTACGAAATTTGGCAACTGAAAATGCATAATCCTGATTCCTGTTTTAGTTCTGTAAACTCCATATTTTTACTTGGGCACATTTATGAACACTGGTCAATGTATTATAAGCTATTTCAAAAGTTTAATAACAACTTAATCCGGCATAACACAGAGCTGGAATCTATATGAAATGGTACTTTGATCTTTCATTTACATTATGCAAAAATATACCAAGTGGCATCTCAGTTTTAAAAGTAAACGGCAATTTTCAACAAGAACGAAAAGAGTTTTGAAAGGCGAAGCTTTAATATTTTTTCTGTTTAAATTGGAACTTATAATACAATACATCTAAACTTATCGTTTCATAACGTCATTAAATTAAAAAAAAATGTTGTCCAAGACGGGCAAATGTTATAATTGCATACAATTTTTGTGAATATCTTCACGTACATATTGACAGAACGGCAAAAAAGCCCACCAGAGGCTGGTTAGAATATACCTAGGTGTGGAAAACTTTTCGCAGTTTGGGAGCGTAAAAGTGGCCGTGTACATCTTACTTCGTTTTTGTCGCTAAAATCCAAATTATCAAACCAAATTACTGTTACACTATACTGTATAGAAATATTGATTATTTGCAATTTGTGGGCGTGAAAAATCTACATTTTCAACATTTTTTGATTCCGAGATTCCAAATTTCACACGAACGGACAGATACACTGGCAGACAACGTTCAACTCGGTTGATTATCGAGATCAGGAATACATAGTACTACATGCCCTCGACCTGTTGTACTTACAACTTTTTCGAGTTTGCCACTGGTTTATTTTGGACACGATTCAATAAACGAAGAAAAACAAAAATAAGAATTTCAGCTTCTTTAAACTTAGTAAGGTAGTATAATAACACAACACCTAGTCGGTTGCTCAAATTGATTGTATAAATTTAAGTTCTTCTGCCTATTTCTACGCAAATAAGTCGAACCCCTTTTAAAGATTTCTCACTCTGTTCGCTACACAGTTTTTACCCATTCATTTTACGAGTGGTTACTTCCCGCAGTGCTTCTGAGATTTGAGATTTAAAATTGTCGCCAATAGCTGTATAATAAATATAACTTGTTTATATTAGGTACCTAGTTTAAACTTAACTTTTCTCATTTCCATACACCATATAATACACGAAAAACCAAATTTGTGTGCAATTCATCATCATTAAATGATTTTAAAGAAATGTTATTTAATAAGATTTTTAGCAGTTATATTGCTCACTCCAAAAACTATCTAATGACTTTTTTAAGATTTTGGAAGTTTCAGTTAATATTTGATGTGAGCTCTTCGCCAGAAATTACAACCGGTCCTAAATTTAAGAGTTTACATAGATTTTCCTTAGTAAGGTTTCTAAAGACATTTCAGCAATCGTACTTGCATTTAAATGCATTAACAGACGTTGGTGAAAGTCAATGTTTTAACAAGAAAGGAAGCTAGAAAGAAATTCAATAGAAGTTAGAAAACCCCATCTGGAAGAAATCAAGTCGATCTGATCAAAATCAACGGCGTGAGAATTTTTCATTTCATTCTGTTGTCCTATCGGAGCTATCCGATATAGTTGGCCGAACTGGTCCGTTCCGCCTTATATACTGCGTGTAATAACTACACTACAAGTTTGCAACACAGTGAAGAGATACCTCAGACCCCATAAAGTATATATATTCTTGATCAACATCACGAATCGAAATACGTCAGTGCGTCTGTCCTCCTGTCTGTTTATATGTAAACTAGTCTCTCAGTTTTAAAGGTATCTTGCTGAAACTTTACCAAAAGATGTGCTGTTATTGCACGCAGTATTTCGAATTAGTCGAAACGGGCCGGGTCGGGCGACTCAGGTGTTTTTTTCTCTGCGTTGCAAACTTCTGACTAAAATCCCCTGCGAGGGTATTTTCGGTGCCTCGACTATCCGATATCCAATTTTTAAAACCAATGCTTGCTGTGTATTCTCCACTTGGCGAGAATTATTCAAAAGCTGTGTCATTAAAACGTTGGGTACCACAGAATATCGCAGTTTCTGGGTGTATTTCGAGTATACACAATAAGATTCATGGTGAACGCATAAAATCAACCAAATGTTAACTTGTTTTCTTGAAAAAATGTCAGTCATGTGTCCATCATAAAATAATCCGAAAATAGAAGATCCTAGATACACAAAACTTAACTTTTACTTTTGCGAATATATGTTATAATACATATACATATATATTTATAAAATATTATACAAACTTTTACCAAATTGTTTTTTTGTGGAAAATATAGTTTGTGTTTATCATTGTCATGCTAAGCAGCAATAAAAGGAGTACTATAACTTTATTAGCCGAGCCTGGGTTTTTCTTATGTGTCAGTTGGCGCAAAATTAAGACGTTTTTTAACCAATGTCTGCCTTAAAACTATATCGAATTTTTTGCAACTTTTTTATAAAAGGACCGCGATTGTGTTTTTTTTTACCTTCTTATAGTTTCCCAGATCTCTACGGTTATACGTAAAAAATAGACAGACATAACACATATATAGACGACATTCATTTACACTACGAGGTGATATTATACTTATCTATTTAATTAATCTTAATACATCGGGGGAAAAAAAAACCAAGGCCCAAAAAAAAAAATGAAGTGTTGAATTGCGTTCAGATAATTATTTGTCGCTAACAGCCACATACATTACATTAAATACATTTATTTTTATAAAAGTATATACACATATAGATAAGAAAAAATAGTTTAAAATAATTTGTGCAAATAGTAACATATGCAAACAAATGATTTAAAAAAATGGTAAAAACTTACTTCTCCATAATGTTCTTCATTTTGCTGCAACAAATCAACACAAAGTTCTGCTAAGTGTATTAAGTCCTCTAACTTTTTTGGAGCCGGAACAATAACTTCTCCTCGCAAATCTTCTGTGGATAATTAAATGATAAATTAGTTAACGAAAAAGAAAGCTAGCTTCGGCGAGCCGAATACAATTAATTCGCTTCAACACAATTGTTCATGGACCAAATCAGTCTCAACTAAAAAAAATTATTAAAGGTCTTTTGGTCTGTAATTATGTAACAACTAAATACTAAATAAATATAATAAACGACCTGATAACAACATTTATTTCTTACCTTCAATTTTAGCCTTACTGGAGAGACGAGTGTAATTTACAAGTGCTGCAGTCTCTAAGCTTTTTTTGATCATTTGACGAACTTCTTCTGGTGGTACCGGAGTAACAATGTCTTTCATTAGAACTCTTTCAAGTAAAGATAATGTTGCTTTAAGTGCACCTTCTGGACGACCAAAAGGAAAGCAGTATCTAAAGTTAGTTATTTGAAATTCCAGCAACTGACGAAGACGTTCCTTTATTTCAGAAAATTTTTCTTTCTCTTCATGAGTTATGCTACCCACTCCATCCGGTCTGTAAACATAAGTTAAATTAATTACTAGAAGCTTAAAAGTTTGATTATAAAGTACCTATTTCCGTGAACATGGCTGGCGCAAAACGCAAATGAATAGTGAATTAAAGTAGGGTCGATCATGTGTTGCTTTTCAGCACGGTCCAATAAATCAGAAAGATAACATAGATGACGGTAACATCCTCTTACACCGTAACGTGCGCAGTACTCGTCCAGCACAAAGACTTGTCCGGGACTAAACCAGCCCTAAAAACGTATTAAAAAACTCTTAAGATTACATTTTGTTATTCCAAGTTTAGCCGCCTAGCTTACACATAAAATTAACAAAAAATTCAAAAAAAGAGGGCAGTTTGATAAGTGTAAGTAAAAATTTTACCCTTATGCGCCCAAAGAAGTTTCACTTCAAAAAGTACTGATGCGGCTGAACTTTAAGGGCATTATTGAAGGCTTACCAGAGAAGCGTATGGATCATTGAGCCTGTACTCCAAGGTTAGGTTTTGTAATGTTTTAAAAAGTGAAGCATGGTCAAAAGTACAAGGGTCGGTGCTTATGAAATCCTCCATTCCATGTTTCCGAGCTTTGTCTGCATCTGTAAAAAAATTTCTATAATTAGCTATTCAGCCATAGATATAAAAGAAATATTTTGCTTTTGGGCTTCCAATACCACTGCGGACAACCAGCACTATTTTATAAAGCCAAAGTACATCAAATAAGCGAAATTGACAACATATTGATATAAACAAGATTGGCTAATTTAGCTTAATACTTTGGCTTTTAGCTTAGAACTCTTCCATTGAATGGGAGTAAACGTTATATAGGGTAATATCAGAGTATATTTTATAATTATATCACAGTTACATAAACGATTTTCCCTTTTTGAGGTTCTTATCTTAAGTGAAGCGGGTTTGGTCAAATTACTGATCTGCTAGTTATCCGCAGGATAAAATTGAGCAAATGCCAACAATTATTATTTAAAGATTTTTACAATTGCCGACAACAAACAAAGCTAAGAAAAATGTGTTTTAATTTAAGAATACCTACCACCTTGAATCTTCGACAACGCTGAATTTTTGTCTTGCGTAATTGGGGGAGTTGGTTTATGAGACTGTCCGGTCGCCCTATACATGGCCATGACCCATAGACTGCATTCGTTCTCATCATCGCAAGCGAAGGAAATACTATCACCTTCGCGAACTGCGTTAAAAAAATAACGGCCTCCGTTTAAATCAATTCCAAACATCAGATTCGCTAAACATAAATGTGTTTGTTAAAATAAATCATTCTTATCAATGGAATTATAAGCAATATACCACTAGCTGCTTCTATGTAATCCACAGTGTATCCATCAAGCTGCATCATCTCTGACGGTTCCGATTTTTTCTCCTTATAACTACACATGGCAAATGTGTATTGGGATACTTGAACTAAGACAAAATAGCGTCTTTTCCACTTTTTCCAGACCGATTTCCCGATCGCATAAAGATGCCTAAAAGGTTATACAAAAAAATTCATAAATTCGACATTGGTTAAATATTAGGTCACTCTTAAAAAATTAAGATTATAAATATGAGGTTTTGTTATTTTGCCAGTTACAACATTTTTTGAAGTGATTACTTTCAAAATGTGCAGCGTTTTTGCGATGACGTTTGAGGATCCACGAGTCCGGCCACCTCAAAAAATACAGTTTGTGAAGAATCAAAAAACTTATGGGGGAACGCATGCGTTAGTAACCTAGAAGTGATCCAGAGAACTCAATCAAAGATACTGAGAACTATTCAGGCTCATCCAAATAGGCTTTAACCTGGAACACTAGCTACACACGACTCCGGCGTAGAGATCTCCCCACCCAGCAAAAATGGCTGGGCCGATATTTCAAAAACCTTAATTTTAATTCATTAATTATATGTATTAGGCTAAGATTTGAATACTTGTCGTTAGTCTCGTTGAGAGAAGATTTGATAAATAAAAACCGTAATTAAAAAAAAAAAAGTACTTAGATATTTAACAGTTCCATTATTTTTGAGGTTTCGGGAGACATTAAAAACAAAAAAGATTTTTATCGAAAATTCTAGAGTGGCCTTACCGCTTAAAGAACAATTGCATTATACTTACCCACAATGTTTCATATTTAAGGGTTTATCAAGTCGGCAAGCTATTTTAATACGAATATCTTGGTCTGGAAGGTTTTTCGGAATTATCATTCTATGCCACTCAGGTGACTGAAATAATAAAAATTAAATAAATAAAGTACGATACAGTTTATGTTAAGCCGCTTACTTTAGAAGAAAGTGGAGTAGGTTTAAGCGTTACTTTGCCTAGCTCCTTATCTTCTAGCGCCAGCATTCCCGGATTCTCTGTGTATAGTTTAACCTTGACAATGGGTAAAGGATGAGTGGTTGTAAAATCGCCTTGTGTGTCCCACCTATTTAAAAAAAAACATATGTACATTTAAACATTAATGGCATTCTCTCTCACATTGGTTTTGATGCCTCCGCCTGATCCGTTTGAAGCTTTTCGCCATTTTCCACTTCCATTGTGCAGTAAACAATTCGATTTGGAGCTAGAGATTTGAGCCCTTTTACCTCCATAACAATCACTTCCAATTGAAACGTAAGTACAACATCTAACTTTGTCAGTTGAGTGGAGCTGTCCTCCGAGTCCCCTTCTAGCTTAGACAATGATCCGTGGGATCGCAGTATCAATTTTTTTTTTTTTTTGTAGGGAAATCACAAAAAATTATATAATATAAAATAAGAATTTTTTATAAAATAAAAAATGTTTTTAATTTTACAAGCATGATTTTTTTGTTAATTGTGTTTTTAAGCAGCTTCTAAACTACATAACTACGAACTACTACTAAACTGTCACAAAAACCGGACAACTTTATTATGTAGCCAGGGGCGGATTAAGACAATTTGCCGCCCTAGGCAGTTTTGATTTTGCCGCCCTAGACTGCAGCCTAATTTTCAAAAGTAGTATTTTATGTAGTGTTAACAGTCGAAATTTGCCGCCCCTAAAAATTTGCCGCCCTAGGCAGCTGCCTATGTTGCCTATATGGTAAATCCGCCACTGCATGTATTCGTATTGGAAAGATCTTAACTCCATATGTAATGCTGTTTTTTTTAACACAAACATGCTTTTTAAAAAAATAGGGATTCGAACCCGGACCTTCCGGATCGGAGACCAGCGCTCTAGCTGCTGTTCCACCGACCCTTTTTATTAACAGTTACATAATATAGTTGTCTGGTTTTTTATTAAATTAAATTCGTATTTCAATTGTTGTAAAACAAAATCGATCAATAGCTATACTATCATGGCGGGAACATTTGTTTGTAAAAATTGTACTACGAAAAAGAAGAAAACTTTGTAGCCGTTGAAAAGCTCCTTAAAATTATTGTATCTACGTTTTTCTAACATCTAAAATATATATAAATATATAAAAAAAAACAACTGATATCGGCACTGTTTTTTAGTAATAAATAATTAAAAATAATAGTACTTTATATATTTATTATAATAACTTACAAAAATGACGGTGTACTGTAATACAATACCAGAAGCAAGAGTAGAAGAATCAGATTATGTATGTATTACACTTTGAATAATTTATAAATAAAATCAATATTAACCTGTGATTATAACGTTTTAGTTTTTGAAGTCCATATTTACTATCCATGTTTCCTTTTGATACTGGAAGAGATTCAAGATTTGCCATTAGAAGATTTATTGATGACTTAAGCTCCTCAACGTAAAGAGACTCCATTTCTTTGAGTACAAATTTAGGCATAAGTTTGCGATTCTTTTCCATTTCTCCTACGCGTTGCATTCTTCCGTCTAATTCTCGCCTTATGGCTGCTGCTTGCTCATCAGCGGAGTCCAGCTTAAATTAATTAAAAATCCTTAAAACTTGAAGATGAATACAGTAATTAATGTTTACCATCAAGGCGTTATACAAAATTTGGTGCTCAAATTTTTTAACTAATAATATTTGTTGAAACATATCATATAATTGCTCTTTAGAAAGAATTAGCTCGCTGTTTAGTGATTGCTGCATTCGAGACGGTCGCTTGGAATCCTCTTCTCCAGACCCTTTTAATATGATATCGAATTTAGCCATCCAAGAAGTTAACACGGTTTCCTTACTAAGCCCATCGATTTCTGGTAAAGATCTAAAAATAAGTTTATTTATTTAAGTGTCGGTATTAATATATGTTGATCATAATACCTGACGCGTTTTTCTATATTATTGCGGAAAACTTCACGAAAATCATGTTGTGAGGATGCTCCAGATTGGACCATTTTTAAAACTCGCTCTGATTTAAGAAACACGTCATGATAGCTCTGCACAGCATTTTGAAATGCTTCATCAGCCATAATTTGTGTTTCACCTTTAAGAAACGCCTAAAACAAAAATGTGTTATAAATATTAGCTTTACCTTTATACTATTATGGAGGCTTTATTATAAAATCATCCTGATATTTGTAAATTTTTTTCGAAATTAAAAAGTCTTTTGAAAACACCATCTGCCATTTACTTTATGGCATTGCCAAGGATTTAAAAATCCTGAAAATCCTAAAAACTGAAACTGGATTTAGCTTTATCTAGCTTTTTATCTAAAAACCCCTCGAACGGCTTTGCATACAGTACGTCTATCCAACTATCTGACTGCCAGTCCGGATGAACATATTCAACTAAACAAATTTTGGGTAACAACTGAAAATATGTTCTGCATTTGCAAGGTTACTTGATGTAGATTAAGACATACACTAGATGACATAATTATTTTAACGAGCAATAAAATAGGCTTATAATTTTTAACCTCCTCTGAACAACTAATATAGCCTTAAAAATTCTCACGCCGTTGTTTTTGATCAGATCGACTGATTTCTTCCAGATGAAGTGATCTAACTACTATTAAATTTCGGGATGAATTTTATCAAAATCTGATAACTCTATCATATACCTGCCATCGAAAAATATATATATAAATGGAAAAAAAATTATAACGTCGTTGTTTTAAATCCTACGAGCACGATTTTCAAAATATGGAGTTTTTAAAAACCCTTGATTCGAGAAAAAAATTTCGTTAAAATCCGACAACATTATCATATAGCTGCCATAGCTATGGCATATCTTATGCATAGGAAAGATAGTAAAACTTTTGGTAAAATTTCAGCAAGATAGCTTTAAAACTGAGAGACTAATTTGCGTAGAAACAAACAGGAGGACAGACGAACAGACGTATTTCGACTCGGATCGTGATGCTGATCAAGAATACATACATATACTTTATGGGGTCTGATGTGTCTCCTTCAATGCGTTGCAAACTTCTGAGTGAAATTATAATACGCTTTTGCTCTGCAAGGGTACTTTTAAGGACTTTTGAGTGAAACAATCCATTAATTTCCATTAAATAAGAAAATGTTTTTTTGGTAAGTTGTAAAACGGTTAATTTGTTTGATGTTTTAGTTTATGTCCTTTTACCTGGAATCGCTGAGTTATAATTTCTAATTGTTGTTTTGTTATTTTTGTTTGCCGCTTAGTCATGTCCGTCGGCTGTTTTGCGTTAAACGGGTATGAAATACAGCGCGATATAAATACATACAGCTGTATCCGCCGTTTGCGCTCTTCTTCTTCGCGTTCATGTTTGTCCTATAAAATAATTAAATATTAATGCCTTTTGCTTATAATTTATGATTATATTTTTATGTACTTTTAATTTTTTTTTATTTACGATTTTCATGTTTTAAACCCCTTTCAGATAATATAATTTTAGCCCACTTATGACGTAAGGTTTTTACGTTATTAAAAATGTTTTTGTAATCTAATCAATAAAAGAATCGCATTTTTTGTTTTCCCTGTTTTTATAATATAAAAACACAGACAAAAAAATTATCATTTTTTTATAATTTATGTATATTTTGGTATAAACTTTCGGTTTAAAAGAAGTTAAGCCATAATCAAAGTATTTTTGTTGTCAGTTGTTGTAAAACTGCATTCTTGGACTTTAACTTTTTTAATTTTTTTAATTGTATCGATATTAGCAATGTGTTTCCAACCCTACTGCAAGAGTGTAAGGAATTCCCCATTGCCGAAAAGAAAGTTTATTATTATTTTCCCCTATTTTACTTACGTGCGGATCTCCAGTTTCAGGCTTTTCGCTCGTTATTGATGGTGATGGTGACAATGGTCGTGGCAGTGAGTTAGCTCTTGATGATCCGATACTTTGACTTAAAGTTTCTTGTGAAATACCACTAGATTAAAATAAAAAATGTTAAAGTGTTAAAAACAAGAAAGGAAGCTAGATTTGGCAAGCCGAAGCTTATATACCCTTGCAGTCATTAAATATGTCTAACAAAATACAAAAAGGCTAAACAGCATCTAATCTATGACTATTTTTCTATTAATTTTCCATATTGTTCATATGACAGCTATATGATATAGTCGTCCGAGTTTGATAAAATTTAATTTGTAACTCAAGACTCATAAGAAAACTCTATATTCCAAAAATCATGATTGTCTGATGAAAAACATCGAGGTAATAATTTTATTTCCGTTATTTCTATATAGATTTTTCGATCTTTCCTATGGCAGCTATATGATATATTACTCCGATTTTTATGAAATTTTTTTCTCGATTTAAGAGTATTAGAAAAACCTGATGTTCCAAAAATCATGCTCGCGGGATTAAAAACAACGACGTTATAATTTTTTTTCCATTATTTTTATATATATTTTCTGATCTCTCCTATGGCAGCTATATGCTAGAGTTATCCGATTTTGATAAAATTTAATCCGAAATTCAATAGTGGTTAGAAAACGCCATCTGGAAGGAATTAAGTCGATCTGATCAAAAACAACGGAGTAAGAATTTTTAATTTCATTCTCTCGTATGGGAGCTATCCGATATAGTCGGCCGATCCGGCTCGTTCCGACCTATATACTGCGTGCAACAACTAGACAACTTTTGGGAAAGTTTCAGCCAGATAGCTTTAAAACTGAGAGACTAGTTTACATAGAAACCGACAGGAGGACAGACGGACAGACAGACAGACGGACAGACGGACAGACGTACAGACGGATTTGGATTCAGATGGTGATGCTGATCAAGAATATATATACTTTATGGGGTCTGAGGTGTCTCCTTCACTGCGTTGCAAACTTCTGACTGAAATTATAATACCCTTTTGCTCTGCAAGGGTATAAAAACTTGAGGTTACAAAAATCGTGCTCGTGAGATTAAAAACAACGCCGTTATATTTTTTTCCATTATTTATATATATATATGTTATCTCTCCTATGGCAGCTATATGATAGAGTTATCTGATTTTGATAAAATTTAATACGAAATTCTATAGCAGTTAGAAAACGCCATCTGCAAGAAATCAAATCGATCCGTTTATCCGTTCTCTATTTATCCGACATAGTCGGTCACAACTTTTGCCAAAGTTTCAGCAAGACAGCTTTAAAACTGAGAGACTAGTTTAAATAGAAACCGTTAGACAGACAAACGGACAGACATACATACATACGTATTTAGATTCAGGTCGTGATGCTGAGCATGAATAAATTTTTTTAAGTTTCTTGTCTTGCCGGATCGAGCGACGATTTTTTAAGACAAGAAACTTAAAGCTCACTCACACATCTGGATGTAGAACCAAAACCTTTACTAAGATAACCGCACTTTATATTTAACGAGCGAAACTAAAAAGGCAACTAGTAACATGCGTAGTTGACAAGATTTTTTTTTACAAAAATCAAGCCGATTAAGAATAGTTAAAGTTTAAGTTGCATAGTGACACTTTTGACGTACGTAACTAAAAATTGTACATGAGCTCGTGCTTACCAACAAAATCAGAGTTTTATTTATTTAATTTCAAAGAAATGTGTTCTTAACACTTTTTAAAAATTCAAAATTTTATGTAAAAAATAAATCAATTTTTTACCACCCTCTCAAAATAATAACTGTTATTTTAAAATATTTAAGTCAAAGATATAATACAAACCTAGTAATACCATTGTTAGGCACCTCAAGATTCCCTCCATCAACTTTGCTACCATGTAATTGCTCATTTCTGGTAGATGAAACTCCAACTCCTGCCGTTAAGTTTGTGTTTCCTGTTTCATTTCGATAACCGACAGAACTAGTATTTAGTTGTCTGTTATTTATGGCCAAGTCACCATTAGAGCCAGATACAGGAATATTTGCTCCAATACCGGAACCTGAAGAACCACCAGGTATAGAAGCAGCACCTACACCTTTAGCCGGTTGTGTAAGACGTCCTTTTGAAGATGAGTTAGCGATTGGGTCATCTTCGCCTTCCTCTTCACTTGAACTAGGATCAATCATGTTGTAAAAATACCTGGATCAGGATTCTGTAAGTTTTTGACACTGCAATAAAAACCAAATACGCATGTTAAGACTCAACCATATTGTGATTTTAGATATCAGCTTTTAAAATACATACTTATCAAATAAAACAAAAATCTATTTTGAAGTTAAATAAATTATAATATTGTATGTATTGTATGGTAAACGAATGATCGGCCGCGCATGCAGACCGATGGGTTGCAAAGTTCTAACTGAAATTATAATACTCTACTCTTCTCTAATACAACAGTTTAAAAAGGTCATAATTTCAGGAATAACACACGGATCATAATCATTTTTAAACGATCGGAGGCTCCTCGGAATCTTATCCCCTAGCTTTGAAGTTATTAGACTCGAACTTTTCCAAAAAGACAACGCCATTAAAACACTTTAAGTTTGACTTTGGATTGTTGCCCCTTTTTTTTTTTTAGAAATGTTGTGGTTGTTTTGTTTAACCCTTAAAGCAAATTAATTATAAAAATTTAAGTGATACTAGATAAGAAAACAATACCTTAGCATAATAAACCATAAAAATAACTTTTATTAAATATTAATAACCAATTCAAAACTATTTTTATGTTTTAATTCAAGCCCACATCCAGCAACTTGTATCTGTCAATATAATAGTTTGATAAATACCTGTTAAGGCAAAAATGCTGGTTTTTCCTTATAGATGAATCAACTATCAGTTTGGGTACCTTTAAAGTTTAATTTTAGGTAGTGCACTATTCTTAAAGGTTCTTATCACATTTACTTTGTTACACGAGAACTAATTTCCGAGAAGTCCACACCATTCAGTGTAAGTAAATTGCACTTCAGCCAAACTGTAAAAATGGGGTGGAAGTTATGGTACTGTTATAATGACCAAAGAAAATTGATCTTATCAATTATAAACACAGTACTTTTTTTGAAGTATTAGCAGAACGGTTTTATAATCATATTCTTGTCAACTTGACTTTTTGTTAAAAACGGATTTAAAGGACATTAACAACAAATTCCCCCAACGAAGAAATTAGTCTTCAACGGTTACTTTTCTACCCCTTAATTTATTATCGGTTTTCGATAGTACAAATAAAATTGTCACCTATTATCCTTTCATGTGGAACAAGTGAAAAAAACGATTTTTTTTGTTTCAATCGAAAATGTTAATCTTAAATGAAATGTCAATGAATGTTAACAAGATTCAGAACATGATCCGCAAAGAAATGTGCAAAATAAAATAAATAATTTTGAAGATTTTATGCCTCTTAAATATATGTATTTTATTTCAATAATTGTAATTATCTAAAATACTAAAACATCTTAACTTCCATTATTTATCAAGAAGAAGTAGATTCGTTAACAATTAGGAAAATATGTATTTAAATTATATTTGCGAGCCACAAACATTTGGAAGTCATCAAAAAATAAATAAGTGCCTAATTTTATAAGTTTTCGGTTGAAGAGTGTGTTCGGTCATGCCGCAGCCTAAATCAAACCACTAATTTCAAATCGTAACGTCAACCCAAATTCTCGATGTTCTCCTTTTGTTTTGCTATTTGCCCTGCGCGGCAACACTGTTTTGATTGTCATTGCTAACTACCTTTGCACTTTTTCGCTTATCGCTTCCTGGCCTTGTCCACGGCAAGCTTCATGTAATTCGATTTGTACTCGCTTACACACGGTCTTGGTGCCAGTAATAAATTAGTGCATTATTTAAGCTAAAATTTGTGCGTTTTTATTTACTTGGGCACAAGGTAACGGTTAGTAAAAAAGCTTACTGACCCAACAGAGTGAATGGAATCTTTCACCGTTGGAATCAGGTATAATGAAGTGGTTTGCATTAAAAAATTTTAAAAGCCGGTTGGTATATTTAAATATTGAAAAGAAGGTCACACTGCTGTTCCCTTTGTTCGATATGAAAAATTGTGTACTCAAATAAATTTTAAAAGTAATTCATAGTTTTGTATTTCTTAAATTTGAAAAAAAAGAGCAACTTATGTTTCTAAATATTTAGAAAACAGAATGTTTTATTATTTTTTGGTCAAACTTTTTGGAGTTTGTGCTTAATTGTGTAAACGTTTGGTGTATGTATATATGTATATATGCGCATGCACACATAAACCCAGTGTTGACAACATTGTAGAATTGAATACAGAGGTATTAAAGACAGCTTAAGAAATTTTTTTCAATATTGCAGCTCTTGCTTGGGTAACGAGTTGGAAATGTGCACATTGCATATAGAACGTACTATATTTTTATTTATCCGATTAACCATTAATTTCATATTTTTTTCAGGCTATATGCAGCGCAAGTGTCAATACTAATGCAAAACGATTCGAAAGAATATCTAAAAAAAAAAAAAGAAACGTTCAACAATGCATAATAACATCCGCATTTTTAACATATGAAAGGTATCTCTGTATTTAAACTTCCGAAAAAAAATCGTCTATAGAAATTTACTTGTTTAAAATGTTAACGATGAATGTCTAATGTCCAGTACATATGATGGATCAAAAATATTGTATTTACATCTAATACATATATAAACATGTTTGCAAATGAATTGCAAAGCTCGACACATTATTCAAATTCAATTAAAAATGAAAATTTGTTGTATATAGTGGTCTTGGCTAGATTCAAAATCGAAGAACTAAAACAAAAATAAAATCGAAAGTTTCAACTAGCAGATTTGTCAATATCATGTAAGGATTAAGGCAAAAATGAAATTCCTTTAGTCTTGTTTATGCAAGGTCCTAACAAAATACCTTGCTACTCTGAGTACAGCCAAAATAAAAGAAAAAAATAAAACATACCCAGCATTTCCTATACAATTTAGTTGACGTTAAGTTATCAGTTTAAAACTTTACTATAATAAGCATATTCGTAGCAGCATGGTTGGTTCTCAGCAAAAATGTAAAGACATCGCATTAAACAAAACTAGCACGTACACAAGCGAAAGTAACTTAATCAAAGGTCCTTTGGAGAACCCACCAACCTTAAGAGCACTTTCACCTTCAATATCACTACCTCAATTGAAAATTCCAATGATTAACCAAAATTGTACACAAGCTGGTATTACTCAAACTAACTCTCACAATTCAAGTCATCCCCCGTGTCGGGGTAGTGGGTTGCAGTATTTCAGAAGTAATTATGAATCATCGGCAATGCTTCATGAGAGAAAAGAAGAGTTGCCCAAGGAGCCGGTAAATAAATTGGCCAACTGCAGCGAAGATGGCAACAACATAACCTCTTCCGATAGTTGTGAACTTTTGGAACCCATTCAAGGTAACCAGGAATACTTAATTATAACTATTTTCATTTGATTTAATTTTTTATTTTTAGGAATAACCTTACCCAATGTAACGGCAGTTTCAAAAAAAAACGATGTCCCCGGTTTACTTTTATGTACTGTTTCGGGAAACTGTACAACTCAATTGGAGCCAGAATGTGAATCGCTCAGTCTATTCAACGAAACTGCAGTCAATGAAAACGACACTTTCTCATTTCACGAACAAATTATAATGTCAGGCCAACAAAAAAGCGAGTTGCAAGAGAAACCTAAAGTACTCGTCGTTTCACCACAGCAAGTAATGATTTTATATATGCATAAGTTGACTCCCTACGAGCGTACGGAAATACTCACTTATCCGCAAATATATTTTATTGGTGCAAATGCAAAAAAACGCGCAGGAGTTTATGGTCCAAATAATTCCGACTATGATAATGAGCAAGGTGCTTACATTCATGTACCACATGATCACGTGGCTTATCGATATGAAATGCTTAAAATAATAGGTAAGGGCAGCTTTGGACAGGTGATAAAAGCCTATGATCACAAAACTCACGAACATGTTGCCTTAAAAATTGTGCGCAATGAAAAGCGCTTTCACCGTCAGGCACAAGAGGAAATACGCATTCTTCATCACTTGCGTCGTCACGACAGATATAATACTATGAACATTATACACATGTTTGACTACTTCACATTTCGCAATCATACTTGCATTACATTTGAGCTGCTCAGCATTAACCTTTACGAATTAATTAAGAAAAATGGATTTAAGGGCTTCAGTTTGCAGTTAGTAAGAAAGTTTGCGCACTCGTTGCTTCAGTGTTTGGATGCTCTTTACAAAAATGACATAATTCATTGTGATATGAAACCTGAAAATGTGTTATTGAAACAACAGGGTCGTTCTGGTATAAAGGTAAGTCGGTATATATCAAATTTAATACTCTATGTTTTGTAGAGCTTAACCTTACTCATAAAAACCCTTGTCCTTATTTGCAAAAAATAGAGCCATCTATTCTTCAAATAATGGATTACTTTTTACCTGACCTATTATATTAGTTATTTATAGTATATTTTAACGGCTTCTAAATTTAAATAACAGTTATATAACTTTTTGAAACTCCGAAGACTTCAATTTAAGGGGGAGCTGCTTTAAAGACTTTAAAAAATCGATTTTTTTTCGCATAAATGTCTTTCTTAAATATCCAAGACGGTGTCCCTAAAATTTCAGAAACTTTCTAATTATTTTCGGAGTTACAGAAGAAATAGTTAGCAAGCATCAAGCATGCATACGTATGAACCAAAGCTATTGTATTCAGGACTCAATTCTCTTTTATTTGAACCTCAACAAGAAATGAAGCTAGCTTTGGTAAGCCGAAGCTTATATACCCTTGCAGTAATAAAATATGTCGAACCAAATATCGGGTGTTTTTTTTAGAGGTATAGAACTTTAAGTTGCAATAAAACCACGATGGATTATTCGATTGACATGAATTTTTTTTATTCGAAAGATAATCTTGTGGCAATTCATTTTATATATGATTTCTGGCATATGACCGCCACGGCTGGCTCGGATGTCGATCGATTTATTGAAAGACACGTTTGGTGACCGCCTAATTTCACGTTTTGGACCTGTGAGTACTAGACTACTTTCTGTGGGGCTATGTAAAGTCATTGGTCTATGCGGATAAGCCACAAACGCTTGACCATTTGGAAGACAACATTCGCCGTGTTATTGCCGATATACGGCCGCAAATGTTGGGAAAAGTCATCGATATTGGACGTCCAGATTGGACTACATCTGAGCCAGCCGTGGCGGTCATATGCCAGAAATCATATATAAAATGAATTGCCACAAGATTATCTTTCGAATAAAAAAAATTCATGTCAATCGAATAATCCATCGTGGTTTTATTGCAACTTAAAGTTCTATACCTCTAAAAAAAAACACCCGATACATAGAGGCTAAACAACATCGAAGTTATGTCGATTTTTCTATGAAGAATCTGTATTTTCGACGATTGTTCATATGAAAGCTTTATAGTATAGTCGTCCGATTGTTATGTAATTTAACAGTGTGCGATGAATCAGTCGTTTTAAAAATTTCATTTTTTTCTGCAAATGTATATAAAATTTTGGTTGGCGATGACGTAAAAATAAACCTGGTCAAAATGTCATTCATAAACAAATCAATCGATTTTATTCTGTTTTTTTATTATTAAAGGTAATAGACTTTGGGTCGTCGTGCTTTGAAAATCAGCGTATATATACATATATACAGTCACGCTTTTATCGTGCTCCTGAGGTAATTTTGGGGGCTAAATATGGCAGAGCTATTGATATGTGGTCTTTGGGCTGTATTCTAGCTGAGCTGCTATCAGGGCACGCTTTGTTCCCTGGTGAAAATGAAAGTGACCAGTTGGCCTGCATTATTGAAGTCTTGGGAATGCCAAATAAGAATATATTAGCCAGCTCGAAAAGGTCAAAGTCATTTTTTAGTCCCAAGGGGTATCCAAGGTATTGCACTGTCCGGACCATGTCCGATGGAATGGTGGTCCTAATTGGTGGGCAGTCACGCCGTGGTAAGCCCCGTGGCCCACCATGCTCAAAGAGTCTATCTAAGGCGCTGGATGGATGCAAAGATCCCCTCTTTCTTAATTTTTTGCGAGGCTGCTTGGAATGGGATGCAGACAAACGGTTAACACCATCAGAGGCTCTAAAACATCCCTGGCTTCGCCGACGCTTACCTAGACCGCCAAGCAGTTCAAGTGGCTGTGGTGGGGTTAGTGGTGTCGGTGGTAGTAGGAATCAATCCCCAGTAACAGGTAAAACTTAGTGATATTCTTGTGGTCTATACTCTAAATTTCTGCTCACAGGTCAAACTAAGAACTTCGCGACCGAAGTAACGCCATCATCAACTTCTGCCACATCTATAGCTCTATCAATTAAAAGGGATAACAGCCATTCCAGCCTTCGACTTAAGCATGGTGGAGTTCCAGACGGGTCTTTAAGCGCAACCAAAGCATCATTAATCAATACCGAGCTTCTAGCGGACAGCTTTAGAAAAACAACAGTTTCGTCACCACGTTTACCTTTAACGCATTCTGCGGACTCCGGAGGAGTAAGTGGTCTAAGCACAATGGACGCTGGGGCACAGAGAGTTTATCCGTCTTCACTTTCATATTTACCGCATATGAATAATAACGAAAATATCCGTAAGCCCACTTAATATTCCTTACAAAAGAAGCTTTGACAACTTTTAAATATTTTTCAGGATTGTTAAAAATCTCCGGCTCGTTAAACAGCTCCTCAAACTCATTGACTCAATTGGAACCTGTCTCAAACTTGGATGTTTTGGGAGAATACTCGGCCTCAACTACACCAAATTTAGCAACATCAGATACCAGCTATGCGTTTGGTTCAAGTTCAATGGCCATAGACATTGCAGAGAAGTCCTTAGTTAACCTAGCTAACACGTACACGATGGAGAAATCTATTGACATTATTGGAAAATCAAATGTATCGCTTCAATCGAATAAGTTAAAAGTAAAGTCAAATGATATGTAGCCAATTATCGACAATATGCAATATGCCATATAAAAGATTAGAAGCAGTACTGTATGTTGTTATCTAATTATCTGACAACGCACTGCCATTAAAGTGATAAACTAAATGCGTCTTGGCTCTGATTTGTGTTGCTCTAGTATTGGCATAAAATTGCACGTAGAAAGATGAGATCTCACAAAGTAAAATAAAATTTATGCATTTTAATAACAAATCGCCTGTATCCGTTATGAAAGTAAAGCTTACAAAAATGTTAGGAAACTTGGTTTAATGTTGCGAACTTACTTTATTTCATATAAATAAAAACCGAAAGGATTGTATATTTTATATGTCTTTTAAATATTATTTTTTTTAGTTTAAAGAGCAATGGAGGGCGTAGAGTATTTAAATTTGTAAACCAAGTTATAATTATATGTATATATTGGGTTGGCAAGAAAGTCATGTCGTTTTTTTTAGTAATCGTTTTTAATCTAATTTATTTACGACTAATCGAGCACCAGGGTCACACTTTTTAGTATATTTTTAAAGCTTTTTGTCTTAGGTACTATCGACGAAAATTTGGTAATTATTCGATAACATTTGTGGAAGCTATAGCAAATTAAACATGGAGGACCAAAGTGAGCATTTTCGGCATATTTTGCTTTTTTACTTCCAAAAAGGAAAAAAAAACGGTCGAAGCTCGCGAAAAATTGTGCGAAGTGTATGGAAAGATGCCATGAGTGATCGCCAATGTCAGCGCTGGTTTGCCAAATTCAGGCTTGGAGATTTTGGAGTTAAAGACGCCCCACTTTCTGGTCGACCATCGGCCGTTTTTGACGAACAAATTCAGGCTTTGCTGGATGAAAACCGGCGTTATTCAACGCGGGAGATGTCAGAGAAGCTCAGTGAGTCGCCTACAACGGTTGAAAACCATTTGAAGAAACTTGGCTACGTAAGCAAGCTCGATGTTTGGGTTCCGCATAACTTAAAGGAAATTCACCTAACTAAGCGTATCAACATCTGCTATTCTCTGCTGCAACGGATTAAAAACGATCCTTTTTTGAAGCGGATCATTACTGGCGACGAAAAGTGGGTTGTTTACAATAATGTCCAATAAAAAAGATCATGGAGCAAGAAAGATGAGCCAGCCCAAGCCACATCAAATGCCGATATCCATCAGAGGAAAGTTCTGCTGTCTGTTTGGTGGAATTGGAAGGGTGTAGTGCACTTTGAGCTGCTGGGACGGAATGAAACCACCAATTCAGATGTGTACTGTCGCCAGCTATCCAATTTGGCGGAAAAAATTAAAGAAAAGGAGCCGGCACTAGCTAATCGCAAGGGTATAGTCTTTCACCATGACAACACATCTTTGGTCACTCGGAAAAAATTAACGGAGCTGAATTGGGAATTGCTACCACATCCACCTTATAGTCCGGACTTAGCACCTTCAGATTACCATTTGTTCCGCTCTCTTCAAAACTCTTTGAATGGTAAAAACTTTGATTCAGATGAGGCTGTCGAAAACGACTTGTCTCGATTCTTTGCTGGAAAAGACCAAAAGTTCTTCGAGCGCGGAATTATGCAGCTGCCCGAAAGATGGTCATTAGTGGTCGAACAAAACGGCCAATACATAATTGATTAATTATAAGCCCTGATATAAATAAATCATCTTTGAAAATATTGAAAAAAAACGACATGACTTTCTTGCCAACCCAATAGTAACCATGTTAAGGCAAAAGTTTTTTAATTTTAGCACCTTGGTTAAATATAGGATATACATAAATATATATAGTTACAATAATAAGTTAATAATTATCAGGGCTAACAGAGTTATGTTCTTAAAAACGTAAAAATATGTATGGATTTATGCACGAAAAAATAGAGAAATATGGACGAAATATGGACGAAAAAGTTGACAAAAAGCCCCGCAGAGCGGTAAAATTGAATTGAAACTATTCGTTTTTTTCGTATTCGTATTTTTTTTCAATCGAAAACAAAACTACGGCGTTTGTCACTCAATATGTGTTTATATGATGAAAATGAACGCTCAACATCGCAAGATGTAACAGGAGCATTTGCATATGCATTCAGTTCAGCAGGTGATAAATTCAGGATAAGATCGTCACCTTCTGTAGAACTATCAATGAGATTTCCTCCTAACATTCGCGATATGTCCTGAAGAATAAGAACTGAAAGCATGAAATATGGAATAAAAACTGAATCTTAAAATATAAACTGCATCATAATTGTTACATTTGATGATACATATTTTGATTGATTAACGACGCAACGAAGTTTTGTTTACATTATTTATTATCGAGTATAAGGCAAACGACAGAAATATCATAATATTTGAGCCAAACATATCTTTCTATAGGTTTTCAGACACTTTGATGTTCAAAATATGGATTTATTCAAGTGATTGTGTAAAATATGGATTTATAGGAAAAAAGGCGAAAATATGGAAATAAATATTTTTTCATTTAAAAACATAACTCTGTTAGCCCTGATAATTATATTCCGAAAATAGTATGCAAAGTAGAAGGGACATATTTTATGTTCCTTTTTCGGTGTTTCAAACCAGCCATATAAGATTTTATTGCACTTTTTGTGCGCCCTGAGTAATGCAACCCTGCCTAACGAATGACTAGTTTACACGTCAATTTACAAAACGAAAAAGGCCATATAATAAGGCACTTCATAAAACAAAAATGGGACTTACAATATCAAGCCTTTTGACACGTCTTTTTGGAAAAAAGCAAATGAGAATTCTTATGGGTAGGTGTTTAAAATAGCATAGAGATGCCCGACATAATTATCCTTTATTTAAAAACAGTCGTATGCACACAAATGTATGTAAGCGCACATTTATCAAATTTGTTTTTCAAAAAATAATTAATCTATTAAAATTGTCAAATTTTATTCAGTTGGCTTGGATGCTGCCGGAAAAACGACTATATTATACAAACTTAAGTTGGGAGAAATTGTTACTACCATCCCAACAATAGGATTTAACGTGGAAACAGTAGAATATAAAAATATATGTTTTACCGTTTGGGATGTGGGCGGCCAAGACAAAATCCGTCCATTGTGGCGTCACTATTTCCAAAATACGCAAGGACTGATTTTTGTTGTGGACTCCAACGATCGGGATCGTATTAATGAAGCCGAGAAAGAACTGCAAAACATGGTATTGACACTATTTAAAAAAAATGTATGCATGAATATATCTTCTGAAATTTTCGTCTTAGCTCCAAGAAGATGAGCTTAGGGATGCAGTGTTGTTAGTCTTTGCTAACAAACAGGACCTGCCGAACGCAATGACGGCTGCTGAGCTAACGGACAAGTTACGCCTGAACCAATTAAGGAATCGCCACGTATATAAGATTTGTATTACTTATGTTTGACTATTATTTACTTTTTTATTTTTTAGTGGTTTATTCAAGCCACCTGTGCTACCCAGGGTCATGGACTGTATGAAGGACTTGATTGGCTTTCAGCTGAATTGGCTAAAAAATAAATTTATATGGATTTAATGGATATAAAATTGTAACGTAAGAATTCGTATATTGTCCTATGCTGAAAACTAGACCATAAATAAACTTGTACATGTATAAAAAGTTTTTTTATAACTTCTGAATTCCTTCTGTTTCTCTCTTATCAACATAAAATAATAATAAAATAAAATGTCAATTTCAACTAGAACTTTAACTATTGCACAAAATATTCGGCGGCTTTAACCGATTATTAAAACCCTCACAAATACATCCAAAAAGTAAAACTAAGATAGGAAATCGGGAATTCGGTCAATCATTCCATTAGAATCATTAAATAAAAATTACAAAGCTTTTGCTATGTTTAGCCTGTCATTTTACTTACCAGCAAGGGTCCGTTCAGTTTCGACAGCACAATAAAACTCGCAAATTTGCTATATCATAAGGCTTGCGCTTGTTTTGAGTTTAATACTAATTTGAACTTAAATTCTTTAATTGTACACCTCCATAGATTTGTTTGTGAAAGGTTTGTGCAAAAATTTCGTGTTTATGGTTCAAGAAAATAAAGAATATTTTAAGAAAGATCACCGCATACACATACACCCGCACTTGTACGTGTGGATTTTTTTTACCGAACGGAAAGCAACACGAATGTGTTGACACGAAGACCGACGATTTTCGACTGTTGCTTCGGCCCATGGTACAACCATGGTATAATAAGTACAAGGTAGTCTCGTCGGCTTTTTTTCCCCCTATCGACACTACAATTAGAGCGAGAGAAAGAGTATTTTCCTATGGGTTCGGGTCAATAGGGGGAAAAAACCCGAACGATTTTGCAGCCGACGAGACTACCTTGTATAATTCTACCATGGGTACAACTATATAAGGTAGTCCCGTCGGCTTTTTCTTCCCCTATCGACACTACAATTAGAGCGAGAGAAAGAGTGTTTTCCTAAGAAAACCCGAGTGTTCGGGTCGATAGGGGGAAAAAACCCGAACGATTTTGCACCCGACGGGACTACCTTGTATAATTGTACCATGCTTCGGCCCATGGTACAATTATACAAGGTAGTCTCGTCGGCTTTTTTTCCCCCTATTGCGCACTACAATTCACCCTCTCACTCGCACTCATTGTAGTGCGCAATAGGGGGAAGAAAAAGCCGACGGGACCATGGTACAATTATACAAGGTAGTCCCGTCGGCTTTTTCTTCCCCCTATTGCGCACTACAATGAGTGCGAATGAGAGGGTGTTTTCCCGTAAGTGCGAAAGAAACAGAAACAGAGTGTGTTGTTTAACCCATATACTGTGCACAGGGTTTAAAAAGACTGTTATATGACAATGAGTATTAATTGTTTCGTAATTTTTGGTTTTTACCCAAAGCTGCCCTTTAGGACTCGCTCCCATATTTTTACCCTTTCAAAAAATTTTTGTGCAATATTACATGTTACGCATTGTATGTGCTTGCTGCAATAATTATTTTTCATAAGCACACAAGGGTTAACGTTTTGAGAAAAAATCGTCCGCGGACAACCTCTCACTTCGAAATCCCGAGCGCACTGAACCATAGGGGGAAAGAACCCGAACGATTTTGCAGCCGACGGGACTACCTTGTATAATTGTACCATGGACGGGACTACCTTGTATAGTTGTACCCATGGTAGAATTATACAAGGTAGTCTCGTCGGCTGCAAAATCGTTCAGGTTTTTTTCCCCTATCGACCCGAACCCGTAGGCATGATACAATTATACAAGGTAGTCCACTCGGCAAAATCCATAGTCCCCTATTTTAGCTTTGTGAGTGAATGAGTGAGTGTGAGTGAAACGGCTAAATAGTGCTTCAGTTTGACAAACAGGGACGCACTGAAAATAAGGGACCAAACCCGAACGACTTCGGCAAGCCGAGTGGACTACCTTGTATAATTGTACCATGCCCGTAGGAAAACACGCTTTCTCTCGCTCTAATTGTAGTGTCGATAGGGGGAAGAAAAAGCCGACGGGACTACCTTATATAGTTGTACCCATGGTAGAATTATACAAGGTAGTCTCGTCGGCTGCAAAATCGTTCGGGTTTTTTCCCCCATCGACCCGAACACTCGGGTTTTCTTAGGAAAACACTCTTTCTCTCGCTCTAATTGTAGTGTCGATAGGGGGAAGAAAAAGCCGACGGGACTACCTTATATAGTTGTACCCATGGTAGAATTATACAAGGTAGTCTCGTCGGCTGCAAAATCGTTCGGGTTTTTTCCCCCTATCGACCCGAACACTCGGGTTTTCTTAGGAAAACACTCATTCTCTCGCTCTAATTGTAGTGTCGATAGGGGGAAGAAAAAACCGACGGGACTACCTTATATAGTTGTACCCATGGTAGAATTATACAAGGTAGTGTTGTCGGCTGCAAAATCGTTCGGGTTTTTTCCCCCTATTGACCCGAACCCATAGGAAAACACTCTTTCTCTCGCTCTAATTGTAGTGTCGATAGGGGGAAAAAAAGCCGACGAGACTACCTTGTACTTATTATACCATGGTTGTACCATGCGCGAAACAAAAAAAAGTTCACCAAGAAAGCCCAAGAGAGCGCAAGAGAGGCTGCCAAAGAGCTGCTTCTCTTTTGTCCTTACAAATCGTCGCCAGCCTGTTGCACTTATGTATGAACATATGTGTTATATTTGAAAGACGCGTCGCGCTAATACGAGCTCACATGAATATGTTTCTATGTGTGAGGGGCGATCGAACTTAAAACTAATGCAACAGACAGGAACTTACTTGTAGGTTTTTGTTTATTTAAACGTACACAGGGACAAAAAAAGCGACTATTTTTCATACTATTAAATAGTCGCTTATATTAAGGAGTGGGATAATTTCGAACAGCAATGAACAATTTGACACCAAGAAAATTTGTTTTGGGTGTGCAATCTACTTGCACAAATTTGGTTATAGGGAAAAACATTATATCTAAAACAAACCATTATATCTAAAATAAACTTCGTTTTGAATATAGGAATGTGTAATTTACAGTATCCTCCTGCTACAAAACGAGGAGCGAAATAGATCCCATGCGAGGTCACCTGGTATGAAATCTATCAAAAGTTGAAGCACCAAAATGAAAGGCCAGTGTTAAGCCCTTAATCCAACGATATTGCTTACATTAAACATACAGTTTCAGGAAAAACACACAGAGCTTACGTAAACAACCTAAACCTTTGAAAACGATACTGAATTAATCAGGAGCTAATCACGTACACAAACTACCGAATAAAAATTGTCAGCAAAAGTTTGCCACTACGCGAGTAGTGCCATTACGCGAGTATTCCCGAAGCCGACGAAGTCCTACGCACCTCCAAACCAAAGCGTTAGCACTCCGGATCAAGCGCACGAGTCCAAGCAGCAGATCCACCACAGAGAAATACTTCCACGACATTGTAGTAAGCCCGGCAAACCACGGAGCACATGAGAGTACGTAGCACGAAGAAGCAGACGACAACGCACAGTGCCAGCAAGAAATCAGGAAACATATAGAAGAGCTGAGACCACCCAGGAAACAGAGATCAACACCGTTAATTAGGTTCGTTATAAACACCCCAGTAATAGTTCACATATACTCCCATGTCCTTCTTTTAAGTACTCATTGTTGATAAGTTTCAATTTATCAACATAATTTTATTTTTCCCTCAAATTGTGTGTTCTTAAAACTTTAATAACAATAAAGTAATTTTATCGGTTAGACCGGTTATAAATATAAGATTTAAGATAAGGTTAAGAACATACTTACAAATTCTAAATTTTTAACTACTTATAAACTGTTACGATTTGTTTAAAAAACACCGAAACTATAAGTTCAAGCAATACTATCAAGCATTTATTATAAAACAAATTAACTATAAACAATTTTAATTTTGTTGACTTATAAGTCAATATCTAACGTGTCAGGAGTGAGCAGCATAGGCTCACTGTTTCTGTCGTCTACCAATGAAGATAGTGAGTCGTTTATCATGACCGCCGACATATCGACAGAACTATGTTGATCTTCGTCTACTGTGATGAAAGACCTATGGGAAGCTGACAGTAATGGATCATGATTGTCATCACAATGTTCAATTCCTCTGAACTCAGAATTTTCAACCGAATCGGGTAAACCTTGGATTTTCCGTATACTAGGATGATGAAAACAATTTGAACGACTCTCGTGTGTCGTCAATTGGTGCTGAATAAAGCATGAAGTACTACAAGAGTCATCTAAGTTAGACTTGGCTTTATAAAGTTCTGTATCAGTCTCCGTGATACTCTTTGGTGGAAAACCAGAACAACTCAGTTTTCGTGCGGTCGGCGTTCGTGGAGTAGATTGCAAATTACTATGTGAAGACAACATTGGGTCACCTCCTTGTACCGGATGCTTGCAATCTTCTAACAGTTCGTCAATCTGATTCATTTCCATATTTACGTCACTACTGTTTATCACGTGTGGCTTTTTAAATGATATAGGTTATTAGTTTAAAATATTTTATTTATGTATCTAACTTACTTTTTTTTCAATAGGTAGGTCGAAAAGTGACCGACGACTTCGAGAAACGGATGGAGAAAGACTTGAACTTTTAAGAAATGTGTTTGCTGGGGTAGGCGCAGACACTGATGTTAGATTGCAGTCTGATAAGGAAATTCCGTGGGTCTTGGCCTGTATTTCCAACTCCTTAAAATCATAAAATAAGTTGCAGAACCGCCTTCTTAAAATTCAACATACCCTTATTCGAGACATAAGTTTTCGATTTTGCAACTCCACTTGACGTTGACGAAACTCATTTTGTCTTAAGCGAGACACTTCATGTTTCAAGCATTTTATATAGTCAACAGATGACTTCAATATAGTTCCTTTGTTTGGTCGAATATCTCGTACGACTTCGTAAAAGGCATCACTGCCCTTTGGCAAAAGAGTACCAAGCTCTTTAATCCTGTCGTTTATATTGAAACGTCTTCTTCGCTCAACTAAAAGTTAGTCAACACTAATATTAATCTAAAAGTTGGAAAGAAATTTAAATTGTTTGAAATTTACTCATGTTATGGTTGTCCTTCTTTTGCCTGTCTTTTGCCAATGCATTTATTTCAGCGTCGGTTAAGTTTTGGGGCTCCTGCTTAATTGAAAGCTCTGAGTTAAAGTTTTTGTCAAAGTTAAAAGAGTCGTGCTGCAGAATATCATCAAATATATCATCTGGCTAAAACAAATAAAATTGATAAGTACAAAATGAATTTTAAAACAAGAAATGAAGCTAGCTTCGACAAGCCGAAGCTTATATACCCTTTGCTCTGCAAGGGTATAAAAAAATGGAAAATATGTAAGTTGCCCATTTAGGATATAAAAAATACGATACATTTTTGTATTTCATTACCAAATGTTTGCCTTTACTAGAATGAGGTAAACCAAAATAAAAGTTTTAAGAAAATACAAAAATTGGCCTTTTTTTGCAACTATTGCTGATAATATCTATTACGCGTAAAGGAAAATGGCATATTTTACTCGATAAAAATTATGTATCAGGTAAATAGCAACAAGCCGGTGCAGGCTCCGTACATCTGACTCTTTATCGGAGTAACGAGTATCTGTATCTCTCTTGTTTTGCGCCACACATAAAACCTATTACAGCACCGAACTTATTTGAAATTATTTAACAAAAATAAAAACAATTTTTGATCAATAAGTAAAACAACTTTAAAACCTAAACATACGTATTCACTATGTTCAATGCTTGGCCTTTCATAGCTTTTAATATACTTACATCACTGTCAAACGACGGTAACTGAAAAAAGGGAGGATATTATTAGCAATTTAAAAAATTCAAGCTTTATAGAATTTAAAGCTTTACTTTTCGTTTACGGATATATAAAGAATAAGCAGTCAACTAGGAATATTATTGTAATAATTTTCGATCTCAATCATGGTTGATTTAATTTTTCCTATGGCAATACCATACACAAGGAAATAAATGCAAAAAAGAAAAACTAAACATTACTGTTCTTTGGATATTTTTGAGGTTTTGAGAACTGTTTTAAAAATCGGATTACGAAATAATAAAACATAAATGTTTCGACGCTTTTTATTTTATAGTTAAAAGTTTTTTCGGAAAATAAGGGATTACATTCGTTTAACGGATTAATAAAATCGTTTTATACCCTTGCATAGCAGTTAGCCTATCATAATTTCAAATTTAATAGAAAAATCGTCGTAGCTTGTTTAGCCTGAAAGGGTTTATAATCTTCGGCTTGCCGAAGCTAGCTTCCTTTCTTGTTGGTTAATTCCTTTTTTAAGACTATTGCGTTCCGTTTTGTATTTTCATAAACAGTTTATGGATCTTATGAACATATTTTGTTTTTGGTTAATCCCTTTGGTAAGAAAAGGAAAATGGGAAAGTTATTCAATAAAAGATTTTCTCAAATAATAATTTCATAAAAATTTGAGAGTTCTAAGAAAGTTTATACGATTTTAAAAATGTGCTTGTTAACCGCTATTATAGATAAACATTTGGACCTGAATGTTTTTTAAGGTGTACGAGCTAAAAAAAACAATGTACTTTTTTCACTTTTTTTAAGATTGTCATAAAAAAAGAATTAAAAATTATTTACCTCCGAAGCACTTGTTGCAACAGAACTCAAGCTCGGCGAAATGGGTGCTGAAGTAGATTGCAGAGAACTTGTTGTGCTAGAAATCCTTATTGAATTCATCATTCCTGGGGAAGTTCGAGTTATAGAAGAATTTAGACTATTATTTTTAACGAATCCCATCTGGGTGGTCTTTTGTTCAGTTGCTGATTCTGTAGAAACTTGGTCAATTCCTCGCAATGAAATTTGATCCTTAGGATGTATGTTTTCTGTTCTTAAAAAACTTCCACCAAAGGGGGAGATACGCATTAAATCGTCTGACTGCACAGACGTTTTTTCACTAATGCCTGTGTCGCAACCAAAACTGTTTGTACGCTCCAACGGAAGGGTGTTGCTCTTCTCTAATGATGAACTCTGAAGATTACCCGTCGAAGCCGAAATATTTGCCATTTTTATCTATGGTTTGAAAAAAGCTTAATAGAGTTGTAGATTATAGTCAAAATATACGTACGTCTTTACTATGACAGATCCAATCAGAAGGCTTAAAGGACTCACTTAGATACTGTCTCACTTGATTCTTTTGCTTTTGAATAACGTGATATCTAGTCGGGTTTTCAAGAACTGTACTAACCTGGAATTTATTTTATACAATATTTTGTTATTTTTAAACGGACGATTTTTATACCTGTAGCACTTGGGGCGGCACATCAACACCGATACTTTGTAGAGGAACTTTAAGTTTAACTGCATTTGAAGGATTAATTAAACTATCCATTTGGACTAGTTGTGACATTTGTTCTAAACTGGAAGACCCACTGCCACATGCGCTTGTACCGCCACTATCATTGAATTCCGATTCCATGGAGCCCTGTCCATTGCCAAACGCGAGGTGCATTTTCGGGTCTGCCGAATCCAATGTCTGTTGCTGGATCATCATTTGTTGTTGCTGATGTTGTTCCCGTTGCAATTGAAGTTTCAGCTGGGTCCGTGAGGTGGGCGTCACAGTTTTAAACGTAGGTCTGTTGATTATAAATATAGAAGCTTAAATTCCTCAAGTCTGTGATAGAATGGTTTGGTTCTTCCCAAAAATAATACAAATATACCTACCCACCAGAAAGTGGAGGTAAGCCCAATATACGCGGTTCTGTAGTTTCAGCAATGCTTATATCACCTAAATCTACAATACTGGGATCCATCTCAAGAATCATTTCTAAATCTTTATCAATACCAACTGTAACCCTGATATTAGTAGTCGCCGTAGGGCTATATTGACATTCACTTGCTCGCAGTGCCGGTGAAGGATATGCTATATCCATATTATCAGCCTCTGATATAGTGGAGGCTTCCTCGCCGACTTCAATCGCCGTCGAACTGCATAGATTGGACTGATTTACGATTACATTTTCGGTTTCATTAGTCTCAAAATGTGACATTTGCAAGGTCTGAACACGCCTAAGAAAATCTTGAAACTCCAGAAGGTGTTTCTCAGTAGGCGGCTGCATACTCTTATCCTCTTCAACTTTTGACTTTTCAGAAGATGACCTTTTTTCGCCCAGAGGCACAAATTCGTCTGTATTTTTATCCTCAACATTGTTCGCTATGCCCTTTTTGCTCCAGTAGGTAAACATATTTTAAACAGTTGAAAATATCCTTGATCTTGAATCTTGCTAGCAAATATGAAAAGAGGGCCTGTTCTGCGCTTGGTTTGCAAAATAATACCAATAAATGATGCAAGAAATGTGAGGTTGCACGGTTCTATCATGCTATAGAAAAATGTGGACAACAAACAATATAACTTATGGTCATGTGCGCATACATATATAGGCATTGTTTGATCTTAGACATAAAGATCAATAAGATCTTTATGAGAAAAATATTTTACAAATTTTAGGGTATATACTTGGGTATACATTTATATTTTACACAATTTAGGGTAAAACAAGAAATAGTTCATGGAGTGAATACCACCTTGCAATTTAAAATACCCTTTATACTATGTACTCTAAATTTAAGAGTAAACAAACATTCATATGTATGAAAGTTTGTCTTATGCGAAGTATATAAATTTTAGCATACATACAAACCACATAGTATGTATGTACATATGTAAATACAGGGTGCTTAAGATTTTATTTTACAGATCATGTTTTGCATTTAATGCCATTGTATAAAATAAGTATTATGTATGTATGTATCTAAATTTGTAAGCATAATCATCTGATGGTGTTGTTCTGGTACATTTTGGATAATTTTGTACATATGTAATTCTTTTAAAGTAAGAATGAATCTTACTTTGAATAAAGTTTCAACTTTTAGAATAAGACTTTCTTCTATCGTACTCATCCACTGTTTTCATAGGTTAATATGTGTATGTATGTATGTATGTATGTACATTTTGTACATTTGTAAAGGCCATAGATACATATTAATTTGTGGCTTAAAAATTGCTACCCGCAAATTTATATGCATATACATATGTACATATATATATGTATAAGCACGGATGTTCTTCGCTCTTCATATAACATGTGTAATACACATGTGTATGTATTTATTCTTCACACATATCTATATACATATATACGTTTATATGAGTGTTTGCTGATAAGATTATAAAAAGCGCTAATCACTCTTCAAATAATATCATCATGCTTGTACACATTCAAATGTGTGTATCTACATATGTACACCGATCTTGAAAATATATGTATATATGTATACTAATATGAAATTCGGATCGTAAGCTGTATATATGTATATAAAATATTTTCTAAAACTGCCTTTTCAAACTACTTACATTTCATCAGATCGTAAACAGCGAGTAGATGATTTCAATTCGTAGAATTCCATGTTTTCGGAACTGCTTGTTACAGTCACATTTGGTAGATAATCCATATTTTCGTTATCGTTTAACAAACTTATATTTAAATCGAACTCCATGTCAAAGCCTAAATCAATTCCGGATTCCGTCATAATGGCGATATAATAACAATGCTCATGTATTGTGAGATGACTAAATTAGATTAATTTAATGTTTTTCTGTTTCTTAAATCCACGCATATACGCAGGCCTCATTGCAGCTAAACAGGCGGATCTATCAATTGATACCCAAAATTTCATAACTTGGCTAGAGCTTTGAATAGTGGTGACAAATGACAGTAAGTGATCGCACGCCTCTCGTGCTTTTAATAGTGGTAAGATATATGTACATATGTCAGCAATTAATCGGATGAAAAATTTTAAATTTGGGTTTGGGTTAATTATCTTTCAAATTAAAAAAATCAACAAAAACAGGAACATTAAAAATTAACTTTTATTGATTTGTGTTTTTATAGGTATCCGTGTTATATCGATCTCATCTAGGGTGACCAGATAGCCCCCTGCCAAAAACAAATACTTCTAGATACTATCAAGACTGCACGGTTACTACCTCGAGAACTTCAAGTTTTAAGATTTTTACTTTTATTTTCTTAATATTTATTTATTTATTTATTATTAAAGATAGAGAAGTTTACAAAACTAGACTAACTTAGATGGTAAAGCACAGGCAACGAGGCCTTCGCCCTTTTTGGGTTAATGATATGATATATATTTTTATTAGTATTTACATATTGTTTATTGTGGTTTTGCTACTTAGTTGCTAATATTTGTAATTTTTTTTCTTAATAATAGCTCCCATTAAAGAGAAAAAATAACAGAAAATTTTTTTTTGTTTTTTATCATATTGTCTTTCATTATACGGGAATGGTTTTTTCCAGAAGGTGTTTTCCTACGACTTTAAAATTTCGAATTTATTTTCAAATATGTATTAGTTAAGTCAAGTTTAAATTTTTCCAATATAATATATAAGTTATAATATTTCCGGTGGCAATATCGCTTTTCACACAAAAACAATTATAATATCGATATACACGTAACAAATACATATCTGTTATTATCGATAGAGTTTTCGTTCTAAAAATTTATGTAAACTATAAATTGTTCATGAAAAGCAAGTAAGTCACCATACGAAAAGATATACAGATTTAAAAATTTGTCAACTTAAAAGGTAAATGTTATTGTATATGAAAGTGGAATAATTATATTTGTAGGAAATCGGTATCCATATGTCAATGAAGTTTGTACCATTAATTGCGTTAGCTAGTAAACAAATTTCATTATTTGATGTTCATACTTATGTATGCTGTTTTTTAAGTATTTTTTTTATATTTTCAAATGTTATTGTACTCAGTTATTTATGTATACATATGTAAATTTCTCCAACATAAAAATTAAATAGCGCATTGTGTATAGTGTGGTATTTACAACATTAATCCTTTGTGCAAGTTTCTCTATACCCTTGCAAATAATGTTATTGAAGTCCAAAGTGTGCAACGTAGTAAAACCAAAAATCCCACACCATAAAGTATATATGTACATAGCTGATTAGATTTGGTCATGTCCTTTTGACTTGCATCCGTTTAAGTAAAAACCTTAGCTTTTAAGCTTACTGCCTAAAGCAGTATTTCCCAAAGTGTGGGTCGCGACCCACTGGTGGGTCGCGGGTAGATTTTTTGTGGGTACTAATTGTCATATAGATCTTTAAATTTTTTGTGTAGGTGGGTCGCGGTCCCGACAAGTTTGGGAAACACTGGCCTAAAGGCTTGTGATAGGCGGAGTATGTAAGTACATTTGTATGTATGTAAGTTAAAAAAAATATATACAAAAATAGTATTTATTTATAAGTGCGGTCCACAGTAAAAATTTGTCCGGGTCCGAAATGTTTACCAAAATTATTTCAAAAAACTAAGTTTGCAGACTTGTTACTTATGCTATTACTATATGTATAGTCTACATACATATTGTTTTATTTAGACGAATTAAATTTGAAAATCAATATACATTCATAAGTTTATTTTTTTCGATTACGGCTTAACGATTAAGTCCAACATTAATAGCATTACATTTTCCTGTTAGAAATATAAAAATCTCAAACTAATTCTTTAAAAATCATCGCGATTCTGATCACTGCGTTGCAAATTCCAAGTAAAATTATAATACCCTTTGTTCTGCAAGGGTATAAAAAAAGGAAATGTAGTTATTTACTCCTACAGTTAAGTCTATAACGAATGTAAAATTCGTACACGTTATAAACAAGTTTCAACAGTTCTTATGATAGCTATCTATAAGGAACAGTATATCTTGTACCTAGTATTACATACTTACAATGTCAGCATAAAAAAATCAGAAGCTAAGACGATTTTAACAAGTTTTTAGTAAATTTAAATTGTATCTACGGCAGCTCATTTCACTTTCGTCTTATACATTATGGATTTAACAGTAGGAGTAAAACGCTACGTTTCCTTTTATTTTCTTAGATTTTGCGAAACTTGCTCGTTTTTGAAATTTTTGCTGTTTTGAAAATTAATACAGGTGTGCACATTCTTTTTTATATTTAAAGATTTATTCACCAGCCACACAATGGATAAAAAGATTTCTTCGACATCGCAACCCCGCATTTTGAAAAAGAAGCATTTTAGAGTTAAGCATCAAAAGGTTAAACTGTTTAGGGCCAATGAACCCATTTTAAGTGTGTTCATGTGGGGAATAAATCACACTGTACGTTAACAAATTTTAATTACTTTTAAAAAGATCAAGAATTTTTAATTGATTACAGATTAATGAACTAAGTCATGTAAACATACCGGTAATGCTGCTACCCGATGACTTTCGTGCTTATTCAAAAATCAAGGTGGATAATCACCTATTCAACAAGTAAGATAACTAAATAAAATACATTCACCATTTAAACAGCTTACATTTATTTGATGTTATTAACTGTTAAAGAGAAAACATGCCATCACATTTTAAAGTAAAAGAATATTGCCCCCTTGTATTTCGGAATTTACGTGAACGATTTGGGGTTGATGATGTTGACTATCGCGAATCGTTAACTCGATCTCAACCAATACAAATAGACTCGTCTGGGAAATCAGGGGCACAATTTTATCAGAGCTACGATAAATTCTTCATAATAAAGAGTTTAACATCTGAAGAAATTGAGCGAATGCATGCGTTTTTAAAGCAGTATCACCCGGTGAGTTAACTTTATTATTTATTGTTTGAAAATACCCATAATCACTATTTTCAGTACGTTGTGGAAAGACATGGAAAAACCCTTTTACCGCAATACTTGGGGATGTATAGGATCACTGTGGAAAGCGTACAGTATTACTTCGTTGTAATGAGAAATGTATTTAGCTCGCATTTGACAATTCACAAGTACGGAAAATGTTAAAGCAGCGTAACGGCTTTCTATAACAAATCATTTATTTTATAGAAAGTTCGATCTGAAAGGTAGTACTGTGGATCGAGAAGCATCGGAGAAGGAACTTGAAAAACAATTGCCAACTTTTAAGGATAATGATTTCATAAAACAAAAAGTCCGATTGGACATTGGAAAAGAAGCTAAAGAGAAACTGATGCATACCCTAAACAATGATGTGGATGTAAGCATAACCCAAATGTTAACCACGTTATATAAAAACAATAATATAATAATTTACTTATAATAATATAATAATTTACTTATAATAATATAATAATTTACTTATAATAATATAATAATTTACTTATAATAATATAATAATTTACTTATAATAATATAATAATTTACTTATAATAATTTTCAATTTAGCTTTTAACCAAGTTACACATCATGGACTATTCATTGTTGGTTGGCGTGCATGATTGTGTGCGCGCAGAGGAGGAAGCTTTACAGGGCGATAATATTCCGGTTACCGGTCGAAGTGAAAACAGCGAGAGCGAGGAATGCGATAGCGGCGAACGGTAAAAATATTATTAATTGATTTAACATTGTTATTTATTCGCATTTTTTTTTTTAAAGCTGGACGTATAACACGCCTCCTGATTCCCCTAGAGGAGCACAGTATAAAGAAGTGGTTTATGAAGTTGATATATATGACATTCCAAGTATTGAAGGTAAAATTTTTGTGTGGAGCGATAAAATATTTATTTAATCACCGCCTGATGCTCATTTTATATATTGGGTAGTTAAAAAATATTTCTTTGGTATTTAAAATTGAATCAAGATTAGTATCTTCCTAAACAACTAGCAGTGCAACAACGAAAGGTTTCCCCCAATTTTGACTTCGTATTCTGAAAGTACCAAAATACCTTCCTCCTTTGGACTAACTTGCATCATTTACAAGGGTTTGCCTTTATTCGAAAATTTTTTTTTACCCTGCAGAGGGTATAATAATTGCAGTCACAAGTATAATGTATATATTCTTGTTCAGCATCACGATCTGAATCTATCTAGACATGAACGTCTGTCTGTATTTTCGTTTCAATTTAAAATTGTCTTACAGTTTTTTAGCTTATCGATATAACTTTGCCAAAAGTTGTGTAGTTAATAAACTGAGTTTACAAGTTGGAACGAGCCGGATCGGACGCTTATATTGGATAGCTTTTATAGGAGAGTACGAAAAAAAACGGGACTACTATTTCGTTTTGCTGACAAAGAAAATGAAAAAGTAATGGAAAATTCAAAATAATCCAAAAGTTCTTACTTTTTTGGACTTGGGCTTGGACTTACAAGGAAAAAAAAATCTTTAAAATATGGTATAATCACAAGCTTCGGCACACCAAAGCTAGCTTCTTATTTGTCAAACATTACCCACGCTCACTTCTACGCCTGCAAAGGTTACACATTTATATCAAATAAATATGCGGCGGAAAGAGTTTTAAAAAAGTTCCCCACTTTTTCGTTTGTTTTCTGTTCGAAATATTTTATGACTGCAAGGGTATATAAGCTTCGGCTTACCGAAGCTAGCTTTCTTTCTTGTTTTTAAATTAAAATTATTATTATTTATTATAATTCGGATGGAAAATTTGTTACCAGTTATTCGTAGTTCGAAGAAAGCTCTTTCGGATCTATACATATATATTATATATTGAGCAGGATCATCAGACGTGTCGATATATTTCTGTCTGTCCGTCCTTAGGAACGTCGAGATCACGGGATTAACAATGTAAATTTATTTGTGCAAAATATTAACGACGCCCACTATTGCGCTACAACCTGTGGCGCGCATAGTTTTTATGTAATAACTAGAGCTCGGATAGTCATGCAAATTCATGTTGCATGCATATTGTGCATATTTATTTCCTTAGCGCATATTTTGATCGAAAGTGCATGTTTGAGCATATTTTAATATTTCATTTATTTTCATTAAATAATCAACACTGGGCACATTGATGACTCACCAATGTCCTCTCAATGACTTATCATAATAAACGATTTTTTATATTCTTAAAATATCATTCGTTTTGGGCATTCAAAACAATCGATTGTTTCAAAATTGTTCGGAAAGAATAGAAATGAAACGCGCGTTGAATTTATATACATATATATATCTATATTTATATATATAGTTTGAAATTATTGTTTCAAACAGCTGTTTAACTTATTTTAACATGTGAATTTCTTGCAGAGAAACGCGAAATATACTTTATAGCAATTATTGACGTTCTTACTCAATATGGCGTAAAAAAACAGGTAATTTTAAGTTAAGAAAGAATCGTGTTTTTTTTATTTAACTCAATTATTGCAGGCAGCTAAAGCAGCCAAAACCGTCAAATACGGCAGTAATGTTGACGGTATTTCGACATGTGACCCTGAACAATATGCCAAACGATTTTTGGACTTTATGGATAAAGCTATAGAATAAATTATTATAATCGTATTGTATTTGCCACATTAAAAATGTAATTCAGTAAGGTATATACAATATAAGGTATTATTTTGAAGCTTCGGGTGATCCTCTTTTTCCGAGACACGGTAATCTTTCATAACGACTTGTCATTTAAACGTAATCATCGAATTACTAAAATAAAACGATCAGTTCAATTACTTCATTCAATTTGTTACACGTACAACAAAGCGGTTTATTCTGGGGTTTGTTTTGTGTTCCAGACGAGGACTAGAGGTTTTCATATTTTCAAAGCGTTCCCGAATTCTGAAACGAAAACAACATGGTTATTGGTCTTTAAAGCCCTTGGAACTTACGTTTTAGCACTTTCAATTGACTCGTTTGAAATATGCTGGGAATAAGCTTCTTCAGCGCGTCCTTCGTTAAGCTCGCGTTCAATTTCGTTACTTTGCCATTTTTCAAACTTTTCCCGCAGTAGCTTGGCACGAGCGGCGTTCTGAGCCTGTTAAACGATAAAAAGATACGAATTTAAATATATATCTTATAAGCAGAATACATTGGGATAGTTGTGAATAATGCAAATCAGGAGATGTCCATTTACAACAATGATTAATCAGAAGTTTGAAAAGAAGGGACCCATAAAGTATATTACAGTAGAATCCGGTTATAACGACTTTCAAGGGACCGACCATTTTTCGTCGTTATAACCGGAAGACGCACTAAGCAAAAGAAGGAAAAAAAAATTTTTTTTTTATTATTTTATGGTTGCTGTGTTTGTAATAGGTTTTTAAAATAAATCAAATTAATTTTTTAATTAAAACGAAAAATTTAATAAATTAAATTCAAAAACATAGGCTTTTCTAAATACTGAAAACTGAATGAGCTTATTATTGCACATATTGCATTTGGCAAATTGAAACATTCAGTTTTACTCGGAAAAAAGCAGAAAAAACTAGAAATATAACGGGACATCTCATGGAATAGGCTATGAGGTCTGCACACACAGTGTGACGTCGGCATTGCACTTCGACTCTCTCTCTCTCGCAGCAGCGTTGTTAAGGCGACAGCTAAAACTAACAGAGAGTTGTGCCAGTGCAAGATCCTTCGTGTCGCTGCTACGCACACAAACAAGGGTCCCGATCACTGACAAATACATACATACATTTCTAACAGCGTGTTTTGATGCTTAAATATTGAACTATGGCACTGTATTTTTTCCGGCACGACGCAATATCCGGTTAAATTTTTCAATTTTCTTGAAAAATTTCATTCTTATAAGCGGTTTGTCGCTAAAAGCGGAAACGCTCTAAGCGGAGGCCCTTTCATATAAGTTTGTATGGGGACCAACCAAACCATCGAGTTTTCGTCGCACAACTCGGACGGACACTATAAACGGAGTCGTTATAACAGGATTCTACTGTAATTCTTTATCAGCATCGCCACCTCAGTTGATTTAGACCTATCAGTCTGTCTGTATATGCTTCAAAATAAAAAAAAAAATTATAATATGTATAACTATAATTACTTTAAGGGTATACGAAATTATTAACAATTTTCAATTTAATAACGCCATAATGACTAAAAAAGGTACATTTCAAAAATTTGAGTAGGTCTAATTTTTTTAAATTTATATAGTCTGGTTGTACGGAATATTTTGAAATACATATTGTTGTTATTTCAGAAGTTATAAGCTTATTTTTATTATTTTCTTACCTCGCAGAGCGCTTGATCCTTATAATATGGATCAGGAAGCACATTTTCGTCGTCGCTGTCGCTATCACTTTCCTCCTCCGAATCGGATGCATTGAAACGGTTGCCGATTTCAGGTGGAGGAGTGAAACACTTCAATGGTTTCGGTTTTTTTTCCTCGTTACTGTTATCAATTTTATGTTTTTCTATTTCCCGAAACTTACTTAAGATGGTTGACGTTGTTTTGGTTTGCTGCAAAACGTTGTCATTAAACGAGGAAGTTTGTTCTAAAACATCTGTGTCGGAATCTGGAGTAGGCATCTTAACAACACCCTCTCGTGGTGGTGTCATGCGAAATTGTTTCTTTTTATTTTCAGCCGGAGAATATGTTTCGAAAAACTTAAAACGTTCTGATAACTCTTCAGTGGCAACTTTAACTTCTTCTGCTTTTGAGTCGGACTTGACTACGTCAACATCGGATTTCTATTTTTTTTTTAATTTTAATAAAAAGTAGTTCCATCATTAATTTAAAGACATACCTCCTGTCGCAGCTGGCTGTGGCTCACAACTTTTTTATCAGGGCTAATATTTTGTACATGGTTGCTGCATAAACTGGAAGTTGTGTTAGCATCAAGCTCCATGAAAATACTACGTGACGCTTTACTTATAGCTGCAAAGCAATACATAGTAAATAGATATTATAGTATTTATCTGAAATATATTTTTACTTATTTTACCGATACCTGATTCAAAAACAGCCGCATCTGCCTGCATTCCAAGAATTGATTCCTTTGATTGCACTCTATTATCTTTGAAAACCTCACCATTCTCAAATCGGTCTTTAATTTCTTGAGTCGCCTTAATGGTGTTAATATCTGGGATCTTTCCGACCGATGTTGTGCCCTGTTCTGACTCAGCAACAGCCAGTTGATACATTTCTTTGATTTTAGCTTGTTTGCCCAAAAATAAACGAGATCGTATGTTCTGTATTTCTTGCTTCCTTTCTTCGCGGCGTTCTTCTTTTGTCATGTATTCCCCTTGCTCAAATTTTGATTTTATCTCGTTCATAACTTCTCCTAAGCCCAATGGTCTTTCTCTTTCAATATCGTTTTTTGAGCTCTCAATATCGCTATCGTCCTCGCTGTTTGGGTCACTATAATCGCTTTTGTGAATGACATCAAGTTTACCTAGCTCTGAGTTAGGTATCCCGAGCTTATGAAGTTTGGTAAGTGTAGACCGTATTGACTTAACTGTAAAAGCCGGATTTTTACGTTCTTGCAAATCCTCAATTGGATTGTTATTTTCGAATACTTTAAACTTAGACCGCACATTAAGTTGGTGAAGTTCGTCAAGTCCATAATTTGGTTTATCGGATGCTGCAATATTTTAGAAAACAAAATGAACTAGTTTTATGATTTTCTATAGTAAAATGAATATTTTTTGTCTTTAATTTTAAATTGAAACAAGAAAGAAAGCCAGCTTCGGCAAGTCGAAGCTTTTATACCCTTGCAGTCATCAAATATGTCGAAGAAATTACATACAACAACAATTATGACGATTTTTCTATTAATTATCCATATTTTTAACTATTGTTTATATGACAGCTATAAGACATAGTCGTCTGATTTTTTTAATTCGTAATTTAAGAGTCGTTCTAAAACTCTATTTTCCAAAAATCATGCTTGTCTGATGAAAAACAACGATGTTATAATTTTATTTCCTTAATTCTATATAGATTTTTCGATCTTTCCTTTGGCAGCTATTTGGCATTATTTATATATGTAGGTACATATATTATATTAGCCTCTTCAAGGGTATAATTATAATATCTCCTCCACACACAAAAAAAATTCCTCTCGGTATGTGTTAACTGAAATTAATTAAAATTTCTACTTACCTCTTGCGACATCCGGTGGTAATTCAATTGGTTGGTTTTCTCGTACTATGAGCTCAGGCTTTCGTGGGATTATTTCTTCATAAACAGTCTTTGGTGCAAATATTAATTTAAAGTGCACAGGACAGTATAGGCTTTCGTCGTGCACGTTATAGTTATCAGGTCTGTGGGCGATAATTCAACACAAAAGTAAAGTGTTCCAGTTTTTAACAATAAATTAAGGTAGCTCCGGCAATCCGAAGCTTCTCGATTTCAACAACTTCAGCTATAAAATGTATAAACACTTCTCTAGCTTGGGATTTTTTTTTAAATCTTCTCATATTTATGAAAGCTGAATAAAAAAGAAGTCAGTTTTTAAAGGGAATATCATTTTAGTATATTTTAAAGGGTTAGGCCACTCTGGAATTTTCGAAAAATATTATTTTTATTTTTTATTGAAGTGAAAGCCTTAGGCGACTCCGGAAAATTTTAAGTAGGGTGATTAATAATATAATACCAACTTTAGTTGTTTTCCACAGTCCGTGCAACGTAGGCATTGTTTATGAAAAAAGGTTGCCCCCGACTTAAACTGAAGGACGATTTCCTCCATTTTGTATACTGGTTTCTTGCACTGACGGCAGCTGTCAAGCTGCTCAGGTTTTGAAGCCTTAAAAAAGAAAACGATACGATTTTTTAGTAATTTTATTTAAATAAATAAGTATTATAAGCTGCTATTTGTAAATGTAATGGGATAAGTTAAAAAAAAATTATAATACTTACTTGAAAAAGTTCTTGTGCTTTTTTTGAATTTTGTGAACGTACATGGATAAGATTACGTTTTTGAAGATCATCAAATTTGCTAAAACTTTTTTTCTAGAAACAACCAAAAACAAAACTTGAGTTTGGACTTATTATAATTGAGGCAGATTTTAAAAGGATACTGAATTGTGCTTATATTGTTACTTATACTTTTAGCAAGTAAATTAAACTAAAAACAATTTTTTTTAAATAAAAATTTTATACTATAATATTATACAATACTTAATTTTTTTATTTGATTGATTGACTTTACATCGGAAATGATTTGTACCACAAGAAAATGAAAATAATTTTGTTTAGACCATAAACAATACAAAATAATTTGGTGCAAACGCCGCCTTCTTCAATATAAAGAGAATTCGTTTTAAAAAATTTTAAAGTGTGACATTTCCAATTTTGTTTATATTGAGCAAATGATTTTCTATCATTTTTGCCAAAGATTTAAGAAGATTTATTATACCCGGTGACGGTATACAAGCTTTGAGTTGCCGAAGCTAGTTTTCTTTATTGTACAGGTAAACAAGAAAGAAAACTAGCTTCACTATTATGGTAAATAAATACTACTATGTAAGTATACACTTTTCGTACCATATTAATATTTTCATTATCATATTCATGGTTTTTTGATCTTTTTGATTTCACTTTTTTTGAAGGCAACCCATTTTCAGAGGTTAATATTATGTCCTTCGAGTTTGGAGTTTCCATGCCTGTCGTTGTTTTGGTCAAAAATAATATCTTGATTTACAGAATAAGTTGATGTTTGTTCTGAAATAGAAAAAATATTTAAAAGTTTAAGTGCTAGGACCTTGATATAAATGGATATACGTAATTTAAAATTATAGAGTGACAGCTACAAGGTACCGAACATATGACTTGGTACTGAAAATGTAGAGAAGTGTAGTGTAATGAAATGTAATGCGGAAAAATAAATAATCTTGACGAATATAAAAAACAGAATATAAAAAACAGACGTTTTTTCTATTATTAATTTCGTTAAAATCCGACAACATTATCATATAGCTGCCATAGCAATGGCATAGGAAAGATAGAACAACTTTTGGTAAAGATTCAGCCAGATAGCTTTAAAACTGAGAGACAAGTTTAGATAGAAACAGACAGGAGGAGACAGCAGGGGTGTAAATATTTTGAATTGCCGGCATGAGCCCGCGACAGCGTTGGCTGGTTACCGCTCTGCAAGAAGTTGGAAGAAGTTGGTACATCATTTCTAGGAATGAATATTTTTAAAATAGTTGGTATCAATTTAAATATTTGTACAAAAATAAATGTATATTTTAAGACTACAAATTAAAAAATTACAAACGTTAAACCTCTTGCAGAAAACAATTATTGTGCATATAGTAACTTACTTTGGGGAACAAATAAAAATTTAGGACACAACAACTCTTTACCTGAAATGTTTATATAATAAGGAAGCTTTTCTGTGTACCCATAGGCATGCATTTTTTGTACAAAAAATGGATACACACGCAGTTCACGATTTCTATAGTTTAGCCTATTATATAGTAAACGTTGGCATGCATTTTTTTCAAAATAATGGATACACACACACGCGGTTCAAATGACGAGTTCTATAGCTTTTGATTGGACTTGAACATGCTGTGGTTGCAAAAAGTAAATATATTTTTGTTTTTCAGCATGTCTTGCACTAACACGATTTATTTTTATGCAGCTTATAAATAATTTCCTTAACACTAATAAATATTTACTAAATAATTATTAGTACTAACGATCGACGATCAGGAGTTGAAGAGCGAACAATATAGACTGGCCCCATGTACATGCTAAGAGTCTCAAGTTTTGTCAGATTTCGACAGATATAAAAAATATTCCAAGTTGAGTTAATTTTAAATGAGTAAAAGCTTTTTCGAAAAGTGTTTCAAAGCTTGGCACTCGAATAATGTATCTATTTTTAGCGCGGGGTAAACTAAACATCTTTTATAAACTAGTCACTTGCATAATATACCGTCTTTTATCTTAGAAAATTATTAAACAAAACGAGGAAGGAAGCCTATATACCCTTGCAGACATCAATATTATGTATATTATATATTTATATATTTACCGAAAAAAAGGTACGAAAAAATGGAAAATCCGATTTTGCAAAAAATGTAAGGGGGAGTCCATGAAAATTTCGAAAAAATTTATTTTCTGAAATTTAAAAAAGCTGGTATGCAACTTTGTTAAAGCTCTAAAAACATGAAAGAAAGCACCTTTCCCGTCAAGATAAAATCGTTTTTGGCCATTTTATGCAGGTTTTACCAAAAAAAAGATACGAAAAAATGGAAAATCCGATTTTGCAAAAAGTGTAAGGGGGGAATCCATGAAAATTTCGAAAAAATTTATTTTCTGAAATTTAAAAAGGCTGGTATGCAACTTTGTTATAGCTCTAGAAACATGAAAGAAAACACCTTCCCCGTCAAGATAAAATCGTTTTTGGCCATTTTATGCAGGTTTTACCGAAAAAAGGTGCGAAAAAATGGAAAATCCGATTTTGCAAAAAGTGTAAGGGGGAATCCATGAAAATTTCGAAAAAATTTATTTTCTGAAATTTAAAAAAGCTGGTATGCAACTTTGTTATAGCTCTAGAAACATGAAAGAAAACACCTTCCCCGTCAAGATAAAATCGTTTTTGGCCATTTTATGCAGGTTTTACCGATTGCCATTGCCATTGCAAAATTTAGCTGGATTCAGGTTTTTTAATAAAATAGCCTGACAACCTAACACCGTAAACATTTAATTTCAAATAAGGTAAAATTGCGCTTTAGCGGCTTTTGCTAAAAATGGTCTAGGAATTTTTTTTTTTTTTTAATGGATACCTTGGGGCCTAAACATTAATAAAAAAGTGGCGGAAAGCTTGATTTCTAAGTATTTATTTGTAAAAATAGCAAAAAAGCAACTGGCCATAGCTTTTCTGGGTATTCACTCAGTACTATAAAATCACTCTGAGTCATTTCGCAACCTTTACAGCGTTCAGTAGTAAAATTGGCAGTGCCTGACATGGTAAAATTGTTTAATTTCTTTTGTTTTTAAATTTTCACACAATTGCAGCACTCTTCATCCACAACGCATTCTCAACGGTAAAGTTTTTCGCTAGAAAAACATGGCAATGTTCTAAAACGGGTTGCCTCGCGGCTGTAATAATTGCAATTTTAACACATAAATAATTAAAATTTAAGCTTTCCGCCACTTTTTTATTAATGTTTAGGCCCCAAGGTATCCATTAAAAAAAAAAAATTCCTAGACCATTTTTAGCAAAAGCCGCTAAAGCGCAATTTTACCTCAAATAATGGTACTCAGCTATGTATTAGTTATTCTTTTAAAATATTTTTTGAATTATGTGTTGTGATTTGTGGGAACAAATTATCCGATAAAAAAGGCCGAGCGGAACTTTAATCTTGTATTTTTGCATCTAGTACTAAAACGGTAAATGCTGTCAGTGGAAATCGTGTATTTTCAGTGATTTCAGTAGGCGTTAATATCATTATCAATATTTTGGGGCATCTGTTATCGGTTTTATAAGAATAAGTTGGGTTGTTTTTATTTTATTTTTGTAGCACAGAAACTAGATAAACGACAATAAACTTATTAATTTAAAAAAAATCGTGGAAATTAACAACAATATATCCTGTTTTCATTGTGTTTGTGAAAAACAGATGATCGAAGTAAGTTAAACTAAAAAGAATTCCCTATATTTTCGGTTATTTTCATTTTACATAAAACGGAACGCCTTTATAACTGCACGTTAAAAAGACATGTATGGATACATTTGTAAATATTGGTCTGCGCTAATTTTAAAACTTCATGCAATATACACATGCACCTCAATTTTTTTTAGATCCAAAAACTAAGCCTCAGGAAATACAACATTCAGAAAGTTGAATATACAACAAATACATACCTAACAGATGTGCCTGCATCTTTGCATGCAAATAAAATGATTACTAACTAAACCTTGCAATGAATCAAAACATTGCAAATATGGCATACGAACGATATGGCATACTTCAAAAAGAGGAATCCGAGGAAGATGTAGTTGGCTCAAAAGGCACTCAAAAAATTAACGCGCAAGCTACAGGCAGTGGTGAGTTTAATTTATCTTAACAAACACTTATGAAATTGGCAAACTCGCTTTGTATTAAAGGTTCTTCCATTGACAACTATGAAATTTACCTTTTCTCATTCACACAAAGCGAAATGTCTTTAATATGCTTTGCCGAACGTTATTATTATTAAAAAAGATTTTATAAAACACATCTAGTACTTTTTAGGGATAAGGATAATAAGCATATGTTTATACAAATTTAGAGATACATTCAGAAGATTGAAACATAGTAATGGGAAAATTGCATACCCATCAAAGTATACCAACATATATATTCATGGTCAGCATCACCATCTCAATCGATCTATACGACTACATATATCATATTACGGGTTTTTTTTTTTTTTGAGGTATAGACTTTAAATTGCAATAAAACACGATGGATTATTCGATTGACATTTATTGTATTTATACGAAAGTTAATCTTGTGGCATTACATTTGAAATATGATTTCTGGAAGTTGACCGCAACGGCTGGTTTGGATGTAGTCCAATCTGGGCGTCCAATTTTCGATGACTACAAGATTTGTGGGCGTGTATCGGCAATAACATGGCTTATGTTGTCTTCTAAATATTTAAACGTTTGTGGCTTATCCGCATAGACCAGGGGCGTAGCTACCGCCGTATATGCCGTATCAATTATACGGGGCCCCCGGGCCAAGGGGGCCCCCAAAGTGTGTAAGAGTGAATATTTAAAATTTGACTTTTATTTGTAAAATGGGTAAATAATGTGATAAATAAATATTTCTTCTCACAATATTTTGTATACCCTTGCAGAGCAAAAGGGTATTATAATTTCAGTCAGAAGTTTGCAACGCAGTGAAGGAGACACCTCAGACCCCATAAAGTATATATATTCTTGATCAGCATCACGAGTAGAATCAGAATACGTCTGTACGTCTGTCCGTCCGTCTGTTTCTATGTGAACTAGTCTCTCAGTTTTAAAGCTATCTTGCTGAAACTTTTCCAAAAGGTGTGTAGTTATTGCACGCAGTATATAAGTCGAAACGGGCCGGATCGGCCGACTATATCGGATAGCTCCCATACGAGAGAAGGAAATAAAAAATTCTCAGACCGTTGTTTTTGATCAGATCGACTTGATTTCTTCAAGATGGCGTTTTCTAACTGTTTTTGAATTTCGGATTAAATTTGATCAAAATCGGATAACTCTATCATATAGCCGTCATAGGAGCGATCGAAAAATATATATAGAATTAATGGAAATAAATTGATAACATCGTTGTTTTTTATCCCACAAGCATGATTTTTTGAATATCAAGTTTTTAAAAACTCTTATATTGAGAAAAAAGTTTCATAAAAATCGGACAACTATATCTTATAGCTGCCAGAGGAAAGATCGAAAAATCAATATAGAAATAACGGAAATAAAATTGTAACATCGTTGTTTTTCATCAGACAACCATGATTTTTGGAATATAGAGTTTTCTAACGACTCTTGAATACCGAATTATTTCATCAAAATCGGACGAGTATATCATATAGCCGTCATTTGAACAATAGTCGAAAATATAGAAAATGAATAGAAAAATCGTCTTAGCTTCGATGTTCTTTAGCCGTTATGTATTTTTTTCGACATATGACTGCAAAGGTATAAAAGCTTCGGTTTGCCGAAGCTAGCTTCCTTTCTTGTTTTCTTTTGTGAAAAATCTTTACCTCCATATAAGGGCCCCCAAAAAATTTTTTATACGGGGCCCCGACAAGGCACGCTACGCCACTGGCATAGACCAACGACTTTACATAGCCCCACAGAAAGTAGTCTAGCGGTCCTAATTTACAAGATCTGGGAGGTAAATTCACATGTCCGAAACGTAAAAGGTGGTTACCAAACGTGTCTTTCAATAAATCGATTATGTCATAGGTAAGCTGAGTTACATGTCGCGCCGCTTTGTTGGAACCACAGCTGTAGGACATCTTGGTTTTTTAATTCAGGAATGAAAAAGTTAGAAAACATGGCTCCATACCGATCACCATTAACTGAAACGTACTGGCTATCATAGTTTTTGAAGAAGTGCGGACCAATGATTCCACCTGCCCATAAAGCGCACCAAACAGTCAGTTTTTCTTGATGTAACGGTGTTTCGACATTCACCTGAGAATTAGCTTTACTTCAGGTGCGACAGTTTCTTTTGTTGACGTTGCCATTTAACCAGAAGTGCGCTTCATCGCTTAACAAATTTTACGGAATTTGATCTTGTATTTGAGACCCATTGATTGAATTATTTTTTACAGATATTGGGCAACGGACCTTTGAGGTGTGAACCACAGTACATTTTTCGGGACAAACATATGTACGGTCGAAAGGGCTTTTTTGACTAAGTCGAACACTACTTTAAGTTTATTAAAACTTTTTTTAAACACATTTTTTTTGCAGATGGTCTTTTCCATAAAGGGCGCACAACCTTACAAAAAAGTAAAGTTTTTGAATCATTGAAACAGTCTGGAAAAAGTGATATTTCTAACAATCTTCTTGTACAACTAAATCGGAAAGCTCCTGAAAATATAACTTTCTCTAAAAAGTGAGTAAATTCTTGTTATTTGTATATACATTTATTCATGTGTATTTATATTTCCAAAAGAAAAAATATCACAGGATATGAAATGAATATCAATTTTTATAAAAATACCAACTATGGCGAAACTCAAGACATTTTAAAAGACGCGGAAATAAACTTTCTAAACAGTGAGACCCCCATAGAAAAGTTTTGTACGGACGACAACAGTTCACCGTTTATAGCTTCAAATACAACAATGCTATCCTCAACCGGAAAATCAAGACGGTGGGAACAAAAGCTTGTTCAAATTAAAACCATGGAAGGCGAATTCAGTGTTACAATGTGGGCATCCGGGATATCAGATGATGAATACTCCGGTTCAGACCAAAATCCTGGAGAATCTGAATTTTTGAAAGAAAACGACATTGATTTTGATAGTGCCGAATCCCAACAAAATAAAGACTTCCAGCAGGTTGAATCTTTATTATTTGCCCATGAACATCAGCCTCTTGGAATGCAGCCACCGTTAAGCTCCGTTCCACTTTTAGAACAGCTAACAAAGGAGAAAATAGTTTTGCCTCAAGAAAATAACCTTTCCACTAATATACCGACTAAATCTACTTTAAGCTTCAATGATTCAATTTTGATTTCGGATTCCACTAATATACAGTTGGTGAACGAAACTGCCTCCATGTCAATTGAAGATCATAGAATTTTAAACAGTCACAATTCTAGTGGTCTGCGTATTTCTACTAACACAACCCACTTCGGTTTGGACACACAGGAAGCGCAGGAAATTGATAATTCAATAACACCATCTCAATTACCATACATCGACAACACGGGTAAAAACTAAAAAAAAATAGTTTACAAATTGGTTTTATAAATCTTGTTTGCACATTTAGGATCGACTGGAAGCCCTGATTTAAGTTTTAATATTTCCGATGTCACAGGAGCCTGTTTAAATGAAAAAAAAATAGCGTGCCCGCATAAAGGTTGCCATAAAAACTTCAGAGACTCGTCTGCTATGCGGAAACATTTACATACTCACGGTCCTCGTGTTCATGTGTGCGCAGAATGTGGAAAAGCCTTCGTGGAAAGTTCAAAGCTTAAAAGACATCAGTTGGTTCACACGGGAGAGAAACCGTTTCAGTGTACATTCGAGGGCTGTGGAAAACGATTTTCACTAGACTTCAACTTAAGGTAAAGTATTTAATCTTATACAGTCGAATCCCGTTAATTCGTACCTCGCTAAATCGAAAATCGCGATAATTCGTAAAAAATTCTGTCCCCTTGAAAAAAACTCGTTAATTCGTTAAAATTCCATACATTTTGGTCCCCTCGTTAATTCGTAGTATTTTTCGCAGAGCAAAGAACTTTGAACCTCTTATAAATCGTAATTTTGTTTCGTAACCTCTTATAAATCGTAATGCGATGCGAAATTTTTTCAGTTAAAGCACCGTTAGATTTTGCAGACAGCTATTCCGCCTTTATGTCGCCTATGCATTATGAATTTTGTGTTTCTCTCGCTGTTATAATTTTGTTATTTTTTAATTTTCCTTTAATTTGAAAAACGTACAAATGAATGTTCATACTTATAATGTTTGTTTAATTTTAATAAAGTTAAATACATATGTAAACATGATGTGAAATGTAAAAACCCCGTTTATTCGAATTTTTCATTTTTGAGCCCCGTTAAATAGAAATATCGATAAATCGAATTCCCGTCTAATTCGTAAAAAAAGTGATCCCCTTGCCATTTCGAATTATCGGGACTCGACTGTATTACCATTTTAAAACGTAATGTTTTTCTTTGCTCGCTAGTTTTAACTACTCTACAAAGTCCAAAACAAAATTTTATTTCATACAAGCTTGTTTTTTATTTACAGAACACATGTAAGAATACATACTGGAGATAGACCATTTGTTTGTCCATTCGATGCCTGCAATAAAAAGTTTGCTCAATCTACAAACTTAAAATCTCATATATTAACGCATGCAAAAGCAAAGTAAGTTTTTATAAACATTAAATCAGATATATTTTACATTTCAAATTTTTTTGTGTAGGAGAACTAGCATTTCGCGCAAAGGTGGTTGTTTAAACCTTGAGTCAAGCAGTCAAAGTGAAGATAATTCTACAAACTATATTAAGGTAGAGCTACAGGATAGTGTTTCAGAAAACAGCGTTCCCTTTGTGGTGTATGCAGACTGAAAGTTTAGATCGACCCCAAATCTAATTCTATCTAAATCAAGTTCGGTGAGCAGACAAAAATCAAAAACTGCTCTTGTCAAATTTGATTAAGATTGAAAGACAGAATAATGGGGCATATATTATATTTTTAATTAAAAGAGGTTTTTAATGTAATATGTAAACTTAAATAAAATCTGGACTTAAAACATAAATTTTTTGATTTTATTGAAATATTATTAATTCTTAGTACCTATATATAGTCTTGATCAGCATCACGACCTAAATCGAAATACTTCTGTATGTCTGGCCGTCTGTCCTCTTGTCTGTTTTTAAAGCTATCTTGCTATCTCTTCGTTGTACTGGACCATCAAAAGGACACTGCAGGTGTAAGAAAAAGAAACTTCAGCAAAACTATTAAGAATGGCTTTTTATCACCCGCAACGATGTCATTATTTTGTTCTTTCTGACTTATCTTGCTGGATGCCGCGGTCGTACAGGGAGCGCCATCTTGTGGTTATTGAAGTTTTTTTAAAAAAAAAGAAAGGAAAACAGATTTTTGTGTGTACGATCGTTCATTTTATTTAAATCTGTATGCACAATTTGTTTTGTCACTTTTTTAAAACAGTATCTGGTAAGTGGCCACCGCCGGCTGCTTTGCACAAATCTGCCCGTTTTTCGGCATTTTCCATTTTTTGAGTGTTTCCGGGTCAATACCAGCGATTTCGTTGCGTATGTTGGTCTTAAGTCGTGCGGGGGATTGAGGTTTGTTGGGGTGAACCTTACTTTTCAAGTAACCCAACAAGAAAAAGTCAGGAGGAGTCAAATCCGGCGATCTCGGTGGCCAGTCAAAATCGCTATTATTTGAGATGAGACCGGAAACATTTGCTTCATTAAATTAACAATAGTTTTAATAGTATCCAAGTAATTTATTTACTTATTATGAGTAAATGCCATTAAGCCGCAATGAACCTCTTCCGAATTCCTTTGTTTTAGGATGTCCTGTTCTAAAGTAACTGTCTTGAAGATTGGAATTTCTTTCCTTAAAGAAAAAATTTAAGTAATAAGCTAAAATAAAACTATTTTACTTAGGTAAAAAACATTTTAAAGGTAATAAGAAATACAATCATAGACTAAAAATATTACAAAAACGGGCGTGGCCCTTCATATCAGATATGAGACACCTCAGACCCCATAAAGTATACCTATATATTCTTGATCATTATCACCATCTGAATTGAAATACGTCTGTACGTCAGTCAGGGTAAAAAAAACTTTCTGTTTACCTGTTGATTTATGTAAAGAAATAGTGTTGAAATATTCAAAAGGATCGGTTCAGTAGATATTGAGTTCTGATGTTTTCCGACATAAAAGTAACGTTTTCGGGAAAAACGATTTAAAGTATTTTTGTACGTCAAAATACTTCCAAATTCGGTAATTAAAAACCTGAAATTGTCTGAACATTTTTAAACAATATTCTTGACATATTGGTCTTTTAGAAAAAAAAAATAATAATAAACAAGTACAAAAAAAATTAAAATTTTTCTTTTAATTAAAAAATGTCAAAAACAGTAAGTTTTTTTGCAGCTCGCGACCCAGTAATCTCTTAATAAGTGAACCCCTAAAATATAAAAACCTAAACTTACTTTTTCTTCAGATGGCTTAGTTTTTTGGGTCACATTACGGTTAATATATAAAATTGAACTGTGAACTCGATTAAGTCCTGATCTTTGTGAAGCCGGAGGAAGTTTTAAATCATCAATCTCTGGAATCCTCCAAACTTTAAGCTCATCGTTCCACAACGAATTTTTTAAAAGAATATCCGGTGACCTGGAATGTCAAATATAATATTGTATAATAATAAATTAAATCTCTAAACTAAGAACTCTAAGACTCTAAGTTAATTAAGTTAGACTCTTACCAATTTTTGTCGTTTTTAAGAAAAACTGGCTGATATTTATAAATCAGTTGTTGATAAAACTTTACTTGGCGTCCAAGAAATCGAATTTCGTCCAAATAGTCCTCCCTATCCAACTCAAACTCGGAATTTAAATCAGAAACTTCCATTTCAAGCATTTTAATTTTTTCCTTACACTTTCTGATATAATCGTTTTTAGTACTTATTTCCTGAGTGATATTAGCATAATGCCCCTGCAGAAGATCGCGATCCTCGGATTTTACTCTGCTTAATGCGTAGGCAATGGCACTTAAATGGCGCTGTGCAGCAAATCTTCTGACCTTATGCTGTTCTTTAAGTTTCAAATCGTTAACACGTTCACCTCCAATTAAAGTGCGTTTAATGAAACCGATGCGACTCCTTGCCTGCAGTTGAATCTCTTCTTTTGATTGGAAAGGTAAGTAAATAGGCGTTTTTGAGGAGTTATATATTTTGGATGATTCGCGCGCTTCATTATCTATTTCAATAACTTCGGCATCTCTCTTAGGAACTAGAGTTAGAATATCTAGGTTATTTATAGGAATGTCGTTTAAATCGATTTTTTTTTCTTTTCCGTAAACTACTTTTTGTTGAGTTTCTTCAAGCATTTTTTTTAAATGAAGTATTTCATTTTGGTACTCTCGTAGTTTTGCATCCTTAGGGTCTTCATTAATTTTTGGTTTATTTGATATGTTTTTCGCTCTACTTGCATAACGAAGTGTAGATATAGTTTCGTCATAATTTTTTTCTGAAGGTGATATACACGATATCATAAGGGTTTTTGTGTTACCACCTAGGGAATCCTAAAAAAAGAGTTCAGGCGTGAATAAATATAAATTTATTCGATTATTTAAACATTTACCTGAAGCAGTCGTGTCAGTTTTGAGTCCCTAAAGGGTACATGCTTCGCTTTACCTTCAACCAAAGACGAAATTACGTTCCCCAATGCAGAAAGTGATAAATTAATTTTCGACGCTTCCTTAAGTCGATCTCCTTGAGCCCCAGTCTTACGTGCTCGCTCTGAACCTGCTAAGTCAACTAAGCTTAGTTTTCCTCGACGTATTCCTACAAAGTTGTCTTCCGATATAATATTAGTAAAAAAAGGGGATTGCTCCAAAGTGATGGTAAATATAGTGTGCGATCGGGAACTTTTTTCGTTCATTAATGTCGCTCCTGTAACACGGTTTTCGTTTCCGAAGTTTAACCAATCATAACATTGCTGAGCGTTAGTAACGGGATACGTGGACAACGTTGGTACTGAGACACCAATACCTGGTATTTCCTTTAAAGAATGATTTATTATATTTGTTCCTTTGTTTCTTATGAGCAGGTCGCGAATATTTTCATTGTAAATTTCCAAGTAGCTTATCAAAACCAAATATCTAACATTTGTTGCCATAGATATTGCTTCAAATATATGATCGAAACATTTTGGAATTATTCCCTTGCACGTGTTTTTGCTGTCGCCCTTGTTCAAAACAAAGAAATAAAATTTAAAATATATATTATATTTCGTGAAAAATATATAAACACAATACAATGCTTCAGGGCCGGAGAAACAGTTTTGAGTGGGGTGATGACCTCACAAATTTCCCATCCCCCCCCACCCATTTTGTTTCAAAATCATTCCAAATCATACATTACACTGATAATAATGCATGTAAATAAATTTTTTTCTATAAGTCAAGCATTTTGCGGTGTTGAATTCCACACCCAGGAGCTTTTGCCGGCAAGCTAATGTGCTTAACCCAGTTCAGAACTCTGAAAGCTAAGATGTATATTAAATCTTTAAATATTTGAAAGCAATCTATATTAATTAAATTAGAACCCTCTGCGAGGGCATACAAATAGTAGATTAAGGGGAATGCCAATGTTCAAATAAAGTGATTAAATAAATGTGAGGATATATTTTTTAAAAGCTATTTTAATAAAACAACAACACCAATCAATCAAAATGCAACAGGTAAAAAAAACTATTTTAAATGTAAAATGTTAATTAAAATCCATTTAGTATTAATATAATGTTAATTTAATGTTGAAATAATGTTAATTTAATATAATGTAAATGTAATGTTAACTAAATGTTAATTAAATTAATATGGCCACGTCAGCGACAATGATAATTAATTATTTTTTTCGTTTTCTTGTACCTATAATTCCCAAGTGGTTCTGGCAGATTCGTAGTGGGATACCCCTTGATTTTGGCCAATTTCTTAGTTCTCCGGGATGACCGGCAGTTTCTCTAAGAAACTTTTTCCGGTCTTTTTTTTTTTTTTTTTTCCTTTACATAGACGTTGGCGTACCGCAGTACACTCAAGTGGCCCTTGTGAAACCAGGACTGTTTCTGTGTGCTTCTCACTGCCCCCCCGGAACAACCGTTTGGTATTACCTCGGGGAGGAGTATAGCCCTAGTGGCTCCTTCCTAAGACTTGCTCCTCGCGTCTCAGCTCCTTCATTACGCTGTTTGCCATTTTTGCCGCTGCATCCCAGTTTGCGACGCTTGCCAGCATGTTGCTGACCAGGTTCTCTGGAATCAGCGGCTCGCCGCACTGTCTTTCCAGATCGTCCCTCTGCCCGGAAAACCTTGGGCAGGTGAAGATGACGTGCTCGGCATCTTCTGGGCAACTAGTGCCACATCTTGGGCAGGACGGGTCTTCCGCGTGCCCGAAGCGTTGGAGGTACGCTCTAAAGCAGCCGTGGCCGCTTAGAAATTGGGTCAGGTAGTAGTTCACCTGCCCGTGCGCCCTGTCTACCCACGCGTCAAGCCGTGGGATGAGTTTGTGCGTCCATCTGCCCCTAACGGAGCATTGCCATCTTCGCTGCCACTCGGCAAGGGATCTCTTCTGTTTTCCTCTGGGGAAAGCTCGTGTGCACATGCGAGCTCGCGTATGCCTACGTCAAATGGCATCATACCGGCCAGAACTTCGGCTGCAAATCCTGAGACCGTACGAAACGCGCTGACGATCCTCAGGGCACAGGTTCTGTAGACCGCTCTAACCTCTTTTGTGTAGGTCTTATTCGCTGTGGCGTCTGCCCAAATTGGTGTCGCATAGGTCGTTATCGACCTTACAACACTGCTCAGTAGCCGTCTACGCAGCTCTTTGGCCCCTCTCGTGTTTGGCATGATACGGGCCAGTGCTGAACAGGCTATCGAGGCCTTCTGGGCTGTGTATTTCAGGTGTTCCTTGAAGGAGAGCTTATGATCCAGGATTATTCCTAGATATCGGAGGTGAGGCCGAGATCTGATGGCTGTGCCACCCACTGTGAGAGTTACGCTCTCTACTACCTTTCTGGAGCTTATGAGCACCGCCTCCGTCTTGTGCTCTGCGAGGCTAAGACCGGCATTTACCAGCCATTCGCTCGCCTGCCTTATCGCCTCGTTAGTAATAGCCCCCAGCTCGTGCGTATGTTTGGCTACTGCTACAATGGCAACATCGTCTGCGAATCCGATCATCTTTAAACCGGATGGGAGGCTCAAACGGAGGATCCCGTCATACATCAGGTTCCACAGCGTCGGCCCAAGGACCGATCCCTGCGGAACTCCTCCCGTAACTCTATATGTTTTAGGTCCGTCATTGGTCTCGTATCGTAGCACACGCTGGCTAAGGTAACTTCCTATAATTCGTGTTAGGGTTGGATCTATGCTGTTTTTGACCAAGCATTCTATAATCCTTGCCCAGCTCGCCGAATTGAAAGCATTTTTGACGTCTAGCGTCACCACCAGGCAGTCCTCCTTGGTGCCCCACCGCCACCGTTTACCTTCGATCGCTCTAGCGGCCAAGTTTACGACTTCTTGGATGGCTTGCTTGGTAGAGCGAGCTTTCCTGAAGCCGAATTGGGAGTCAGAGAGCCCTCCTGTGCTGCTGATTGAGGCCTCTAGTCGGGAACATATGACCCGTTCTAGAGCTTTGCCAGCGGTGTCTAGCAAGCAGATCGGTCGGAATCCTGAGGGGTCTTCAGGCACTGTTTGGAGATTTCTCTCGTATTGTCTATGTAAAGCGGGGAGCGGGGCGTAATAAAGCGTTATCGCTCAGGCGAATTCGGCCGCCGCTCTCCCGCTCAGTATCGTAGGTTAGCATGTAAGAGAATTTGATGGAATTAAAAGTTAGTTGAAAATTGAACTCCCTGTCGTACGCACTGCGTAACTTTCGCCTCGATCTCGTTTCGTCTTCGACTTAAATAAAACCAATCGCAAAAGAATTAACCACTGCAATTGCAAAGTTTTTCGTTTCGGCAATAAAAACGCTTATTGTTTTTTCATGGTGACCCCGACGTGATCAGCAGTTGGTTTTTAAACTGTTTTATTTAGCTCACCCTAGGGTCAAAATTAGAAATTGAAATGTAAGTACCCTCCTGTTGTCAGATTGATCTGAAATTTGGTACACACCTTCAGTTCCGATGACAATACAATATAGTAATGTCAATAACATTGTAAATCCAAGATGTCGGCCGCAAAATGGCGGATAACGTAGGTTCTATCAATCCCATCAATATGGGTATCAAATGAAAGGTCTCCACAAGTAGAATACAATGTACTAAATAAAATTAAAATTCAAGATGGCGGCCTCTGCAAAATGGCGGATAACTTAGGTTTTATCAATCCCATCAACATGGCTATCATTGTCACTGACAAACACATCAGATTAATTCAGATCAATCTGACAACAAACGGGGTAAGCTAAATAATAATAATAATTATGAAAGAAACTGCAACACAGCGTAAACGAAGGTTTCAAAAAGCGAAAGAAAATTATAAAGCAAAACGAGCTAAAGAAAGTGAAGTTGATAGAAATGGTCGATTACAGAAACGACGAACAAAAAGCATCAAAAACACAGAGCAGAGCTTATAATCTGCAGGCATTCGAGAAGGCTATTAACACAACATGTATACATATGTCGGAGGGTCGTTTGTCTTTTCCATTTCATTAACTAGAATCCTCAGCAGCAAGTTCTGTTCGTTTGCCAGGCGCTTTCTGAACTCCCAAGTCAGTGACTTCCCAAGAGTCTTCTTTCCAAATTTCCAATTTCTACTCAATTCTTATACATTGTTAGTCCTCTCTTTCTGGCATGTATGTCAGCGCTTAACGAACAGACCTCACTTGGCAGCAGTCTAAATCTGTCCCGCTCTGCCATGCTTTCACTCAATTTCTAACTTCCTTTTTAATAGTCCATGCTTCACATTAAAGAAGGCCCCGCTTCACCTACTCTGACCAAGAGAATAAAGTAGGCCCCGTTTCATTTGATCCGACATATACATGTTTGTGATATTTGTACCAAACGTTGTTATCCTAATCAAGTTCGTACAGTTCGGTACAACGCTGCTGCATTAACATACTTACCTGTGGAGTTAACTTCGAAAAAAAAAATAAATAAAAATGCGAAATAAAAACTAAAAACTAGAAAATAAAAAATGGTAAAAAAATTTTAAGTTAAACCGTTTTATGTAAAACATGTACTAAATGTACTAAAAGCCTAATAATAATATAAAATAGATACAGACGTGGGAATTATAAACATATGCTTAGACTAGACTAAAATAAAACCGTGGGGCAAGTCAATTGTGTACAATCGTTGATTAAAATGTTTGTTTGCCCCACGGTTTTATTTTAGTCTAGTCTAAGCATATGTTTATAATTCCCACGTCTGTATCTATTTTATATTATTATTAGGCTTTTAGTACATTTAGTACATGTTTTACATAAAACGGTTTAACTTAAAAAATTTTTTTACCTTTTTTTATTTCTTTTTTTCGCATTTTTTTTGGTGTGTAACAAACAATCAAAAACCAAAAACAATTCTCCGCGGCGGCTTAAATAAAGTGCAAAAGTGCCAATAAATAATTATTTGTCGTCGTTGGACTTGTTGCTGCCTTTTCGTCGCTGCCGCTGGAGAAGATTGTTGTTGCTGCCAAGAAGCCCTTTTGTTGCCGCTGGATTTGTTTGATTGCTGCCAAAGGCCTTTTCGTCGTCGCCGCTGGAACTGATTACGCAATTTGCACACCCTACGTCGAGGCAATGGATCCGAAAAGGGAAGTCGCTGATCAGACCGAATCGGCCAGCCAGGTATAGAGTGTAAAAAGTTGAAAGTTAATTTGTGGCGTTTTGTTAAAATTGTGTTCGGCCAATCTTTCAACTTTTTGCATTCGTGTAAAATCGGTAGATAATGAGCATTCTAACCAAAAAATTTGATTTCGCATGCACTAACAATTTTAATTCGAATATTATACATTTGTCGGGTTAAGATTCTCCTTGTCCATGTCTTTTGACAATTTTTAGACGGTTGTAGATGGCGAATAGACTTGAGCGCACCACTGCCTGTTTTAGACTGCCCCAGAATTTCGAAAAACTGCACTGTCACCAATGTTCTAGTGCACATACTGGCATCTCTGTCTCTCGCAGTGGCTCAAGCATACACGCACGACAATCGCCTAGTGCGTAACCCTTTTCCAAACCTATAACCTCAAGCAAGATGTTCACACCGAACTATTCTGAACACCTGGTG